AATGATTCTATGATTCTATGAAAACAACACATTTTGACTAGAAGGAATAATTTCCTATTGTATTCAGCATTGCTTTAGTATCATGTAATACCAGCCAAAAAGGTGGCCTGACATTTTACAATGAACACAACAACACTCGCTTTGGATATCACCTACTGCAGTAACACTTCCATGCTATATTTATGGTTATTTGTATCAAAAAAGGAAAACTTTGCATAATTTTCATGAAAGAAATTGTATAGCTACTATCAGATGCCTCATTTTAAAAATGTCTGTGTTGATACTTGTATGTGGCTTTGTTTCCTAGACTTAACCTAGAAGCAAAGGTACAAGCACTGATCATCCGCATTGATTTGAGGCTTAAGTAAATGATATGAGAAAACTGATAGTAGCCCTTATCAAGTGCTTTGATTGAGCCCATCTTAAATTTTCACCTGTATCATTTTAAATCAAGGAAGTGTTGACTTCCTTTGCAGTGGTACCCTATCACATCATTGGTGCCTCTTTCAAAAGATAATACCATGTCATAATAATTGTAATTTAATGAAGTTGAAATTTCACATTTACATTTTCTGTTAAAATGATTTGCACTCTCAGTTTCAGTCATCTAGCTTCATAAGTTTGGACAGGCATCATTTCCTCATCTTCAGGCTCTACAGTGATCACTCAGTCCTACAGATACAATGTATTTTTGATAGATTCTGTATCAGACAGAGCTACAAGGTAGGTCTACTTTCTGTTCTATAGTCAACTGCTGCAAGAACTCAAAAAACTATATAAAACCTGCCATATAAGTTTAAAGAGAAACTAGAAAAAAACATTTCTAAAAAGAAAGGGCCATAAGGTGTTCACTGGGATGATGGTCTCAGCAAGTTTGTCACCAATCTATAAGTGAGCATGTAACAGTACCTCATTCTTTTCAAAGTATAATGACAACAATCGCCAAAACATAGCAATGGACACAACTTACTTCAAGGGTATCAAGAAATTGGACTTACAGATATTAGGAAGGAAAAAGAGTTTACCAACAACAGTGGTCAAGGAAACAGTAGCCCAGAGAGGTTATATCCATGGAGATACTCAAAGTGCGACTAGACATGGCCTTGAGCAACCTGCTCTCACATCAAAAAGTTAGCCCTGTTCTGAGTGGTGAATTGGACCAGCTGATCTCCTGAAGTCTCTCCCAGCTTCAATTAGTTTATGATTTTTTTTTTCTTCCTACTTATGTTCCATAGGTCTAACTATTTTTTTAGTTTAATAAAAACCTTCCCAATCTTCCAAAATCCTTCCAGTTTTGCTAAAGTTTCATGGTTTGTGGTATTTTCGAAATAAAACTTTTGCTGAAAAGATCCATTTATTTAAAACAAGTATCTACTTTCACACACATTTAAAAGATATAATTATGAGAATACCCACAAAGAGAACTCTTACCTTTCTGAGGTAGTTTGGGAAGAACTCTAGGGCCAAGCGCAGTCTTTGCAGTCCCAGTGCTAAATCAACAGATGTGAATTATTAGTGCTTACAACTGTTACAAAATACACTTTTTCTTTCCCAGTTTTCCCCTCTACACATCCATAATTAAAAAAAAAATTACACATTTATTTTGCTTCTTTTGTATAACCATCTTGTCTGTGGATCAATCCTAAAACTTAAAGCACTGTTAAGAATGAACTGCTTTTTTTCCAGAGAAAGAGACATACAAACCCCACACAGCTTTAATGCTACAGGGCAGATTTATTCTACGAACTATGGTATGTGCAAAAATGTACTCTGAAAATAGGTGAAGCTGAAAGACCAGCTTAGTGGGCAGATCCTGAACTTTAAGGAAAATTTGGTCTTTAAAATAATTATACTGAAGCATTCAAAACATAATCTGTTTTTTATATGTCAGTGGTTTGAAGTTTTCCAGGAGTAAGCCTATGCCTTGTAGCCTACTGCATGAGTATGACATTGTATTACACACAAACTCCAGCTGCATTAGGAGACAAAGTCTCTGCTACTCTGAGGAAATACTGATGATTGTGGGAAAACAATATACTTTACTGTGTCAACCTGTGTTACAGCTGCGTTAACTACTTGTAGTGGTAAGCAACAATACAGGCAGAACAGTTGCGAGTAATTTAATTACAGCATAAAAATCTGAGATAGTTGCATATTGCCAAAACTTTCCATCTATGCTTTCTGTTGTAGGTAATTTTTTTCAGAATTAACACGAGGATGGCTCAAATTTGCAAACATGGCATGTGAGCGCAAAACATATTACATATTACAACAAAAAACCCCCACCAAATTTCTTCCACCAAAACCACACCCGAGTCACTTTTATAGAAAAGGACTGTGGAAGAAAAGAAGAAAGCCAATTGATTTAAGGCATAAAAATCAAACAATAAATAATCAAATAAAAATCAGTATCACCTCAAAATGATTACTCAAAAAACAAGGAAAAAGAAAAACGAGTGAGGAATTTGCCAGAATATGTTCAACAGAGCAGAGAGTTTTCTGCATCAACAGCCTTGATTCCGGTATTATTTGCCTCGGAAGCTAATGTTTCAAAATGAGTATGATAAGGCACTTTTATCTTAATTTCCTAGCTTTTTTCAAATAGTCAAAATATATCATGACGCAGAATGGAAAGAACAGCCAAGCTCAATCTTGATTCAAGAAATAATTACCTTGGCCTTTATCTAATGCCATCAAACATGAGTACCACACTTTTACCCTTGTCTTACAAGTATCAAGTATGGCACCAGCTCTTTGTGCTGTAGAACATCACTGCTTTTTCCCTGAATACCCAGTGCCACCTGGATGGATTCAGCAAACATGGCAAATCAGCTGTGCTACCAACAACACGTCCACTGCCTGTCCTGACAAGGCAGTTCACAGACTGAGGAGTGTCCAGAAACTCCACCTACACATCTACTGTGAATTGTTTGACGTTACACATCCATCTCCAGTCATGGCCTGATCACGCACGCTTGCGGTCATGCAAGGTGTTGCCTGAGGCACATGTTCATTAGAATTACCATGCTTTGAACCTCAGGACCTTGGAATCACAACACGGATAAAGGAGTCACAAACACTAAGTGACAGGAATGTATGGCTATCCTTACTACTTCAGCTATTGAAAAAGACACTTGTAATGTACTGACCTGATGAACTACGAGCTAAAAGCAGTTTGTGTTATTACAGACTGTGTGTCAGCACATAAGCTCGACAGACTGGAAAACAGTTAAGCTGGAAGACTGAGATGAATCCTTTCTCCTGTAGAGCTATCTTCGATGCCAGCCTGTACCCAGAGTGACACTTCTGCAGCTACAGGCATGAGACCTCACACTGAAGCAGATAAAATGAAATGCCAGGAGACGTGAAAATAAAACTTTTGTCCTGCTGGACTGTGGTCTGAGGCAACATTCCCCAGCTCAGAGAGCACTCCTGTAGGAGCGGTAGATAGATTCTGGTACAAGTCGTTCTGTCCATCCCACTCAAAGGATGAATTGTGTATGGACAGCTATGAGCAAAGCGTAGGAGGCTCAATGAAGCCAAAGTATTTGAATGGTAGTAAGGCATGCAGAAAACTAATGAAGAAACATAGCTAGGATTTTACATCATATGAAAGGCATTTTTTTTCTAATTTAGGAATTAGTTATCTTTAGATAAATTTTCATCTTTGCCTTCATATACGCAGGTTTTACCTTGACTGCTGAGACATCCCCTCAAACTTGTTTGCAGCCTTAGTTGAAGGTGGGCCCAAATCATTACCTGAGGTGAGAAAAGCACAATTTACAAAAAATGATCATTAGGATAACTGAAATATAATCAGCAGAGGGTGCAACTTAAAGCAAAGTACACATTCTTCCAAGTATCCTCTATACAACATGTCTAAAGATTTTAAAGATCATTCATTATTAATAATTTTGTAATTGAAAAAGCGGCAGGGACCATAATAATCCAACTTGACCTCTCATATAACACATTTTAAAACAACTCACTGGTAGCTCACATCTGCTGGCAAGGAAAGATTGAATGACGTTGCTGAGTTACTGCTGTTTTGAATCTAGTGTTTCAATTTTCTCTGAATAGAAGGAGATACTGCAGTATCAAATCAATTTATCGCAGGTGTTTACATTTTGTGTTATGAGGCACATTGTTTTAAAACCACCATGAATTTGATTTTATTCACAAACATCAAATATCTAAGGATTGGTATTTTATGCTACATAAAGAATAGCCTTTGCTGATTTAATGACTAAGTCAGTATGTTACCATAACCTGAACGTTAACTGTTGGTAAAGAAAAGCTCCTGGATATACTCAGTTCTGTCAAAAGGCAGCAAAATCCAAACCCAAGTGCTTCTGAACTCCTTCAGCAGAAGGCTTCTCTTTCATTAACCATCACCATTGCCACAGTACAATCATAGCAACTACTTTGTTTTAGTGCCTTTATCATTCCCCCTTCCCTCTTCTACTACAGCATGTCTGAACAATCTTAGAACCAACTTCAACAACCATTAGTAAATTTTGTCACTGAAATAGACGTAAAGTGACATTTAATGATCCAAGAACACAAAATACTTCCCATGCAAAAGGATGACATATCTGCCTAGATACCATTCTTAGTGCATTGAAGTCTAAATGAAACAGCAGAAAAGGCTCATGCTAAGCCTTGCTAAAAATATGTTTATATTTAAAAGTGAAAAAAAAAAAAAAAGGGAAAATTAAGGTAAGACAAACAGCAAACCCTTCACATGTAGGTCCTATGGATAAAGCAAGGAAAAATATCTCATGGTTGCTATGGAAATCCAAAATAATCTGAATGACATTTTTAGAACATCTTTGAATAGTAACTTAATTTGCTTAGACATAAGCTAAGGATTGCTCTGCTTGAAACTTCAACTAATGCACAGATTAGAAAACAAATGCTGAAATTCAACGTAACGAGAAATATAACAACACAGAAAAAAGCTCCTGAAAGGGAAAGCAGTGTACATCTGACAATATTCTTAAACCAAAACCACAAAGGCAGATACAAGAAACTCTCTCTTTTATAAACACAAAACTTAATACTTGCTTAAAATGCAAATGACTTTGAAATAAGTTTTTGTACGGGTCTCAGCTAAGAAAAAGGGGAGAAGTTTAGTCCGCAGTTTAGTCTGCACTGTAGAGCAGAAAAGAGACAGAATAAGCAATGTTCTTCTCTGGCCCTGCTTTGAAAAGCTATTCTACTGTTATAAGGTTCTTCGTCTTCAACTCCGCTCCTGCACCTTTCCCAGATTTTCTTTTTCCTTCATCTGTTGTCTTCTATTTTTAAAGAATAGTTGGTACTAGCTTAGCACCTGTTCCTACCACACTTTTCATTCTACTAGTGTTACATCATATAGTATTCCAGTATATGGTATTTTAGGTGCTGTTTTGGACTTAAATATTTGGGTTTTTAAAAATTTTTTAAGTCCAAGCTCTTCAAAATGTCTTTACTACCTCTGAAATAGTACAAGGCTGTTAGACTCCCGAACACAGGAAACATTTTTTTCCATATCCCAGATATCTGAAAAGTAGAGAACTGAAAAGATTGCCATTATTTGTATTCCTTAAGAAAAAGACTTTGCTTTTCATTGGACTCTGTACTACTCTTCAGATTAAATCCTAGATTAAATCACATATTCTACACGAGTAGTCTGTGATTTACCACATTTAACTCAATTTGCTGAAAAAAAAATGGTGCTTTTAGGCTTGCAATTTTTTTTAGGCTAGTAATTTTGTTTTTATATTAGAACAGAGAGAGGATACTCTTAAGGTAGTGTATGGATGAATCCCCTATGTAAGCATTGGATTCCAACTCAAAAGTTTACAGATTTATGGAAATCCTGCCACCAAGACTAAAATTACAGAAAATTACATGGGCCTGAGACTTATAGCTATTGGGAGAAGTTGTCTAGATAGAGCAATGTTTATTGAAAAGAGGAAGAATTTGAGTAGTCTGGAAAATAGTTTCTAAAAAGCTTCTGTCAGAAACACATCCTGTTAAAAAAAAACCCTGCTGTTTTGTATAACTTCAGCAGGTAGGATGCAAACCTATCGGTCTTTGTATATGAACGGACATCACAAAACCTGAAAACATATTAAGACAACACATCCCCACCAGCTAGGTGCGAACACTTTATAGGAGAGATTTGGCATAGAGCCCAAGGAAACAGGCTCTTCTGGCAATCAGGAGAACCGCAGGTATTCATCGAGGTCTATCTGCCCCAAATCAAGATCCATCTAGAGTAATGAGCTGGTCAGAACAGGAGCAGGGGTGAGAAAGCAGATGCAGAGTAGATGCAGCAGATGAGGGGGCTGGGGTGAGGGCAGCCTGGGCAGCTAGGGCAGAGGGAGGGAGGCAGCTGAGGAGATTGAATTGGGCCCCAGGGGAGCGTGGAATATTTTCAATTTTCTCAAGTGAGACTCAGATACAGAAGCCTGGAAGCTACAGTGACAGAAGAGAGAACTGTTGATTTATCTGAGCTGACGTTACATCAAGCTGCAATCATTGGAAAGCAAGCACCAGGTAAAAGAAACCAAAGATCATATATCATCCATCATAAAGGTTTTCCCCTGCCCTTTTGTTTTGCGTTTCAAAACTCACCCCAAGGAATTGGGCCCTTATTCTGGGGTCCATGAGGTAGTGGGCTTGGTGGGTCAGAGAGGGTTCTTTTGTGTCCTGGGGGTGGGGGAGGTGGTCTCTTCTTGGACTGCCACTAGAGGTTTGAGTGCTTAGAGGGAGGGTTGAAGGTGGGCCTGCAAAATAACAAACAATCTTCTTACAAATACATGTGCATAAACGTCAAAGCAGCACTGAAAAATTCACAGTCAGACCCACAGTGAAGTGCAGCAAAAGACTAAAATAAAAAGACAAGCCATGCCAAAACACTGTTTAGATTAAACGACACGTTCACCACATTCTTAACTATCTTAGCTGTGGGAATATAAGCAACTTGACAACGGAATGACACATGTACTCATGTTTAAAAAATACAGGATTAATCACTCCAGGATTTCTAATTTTAGGCATTGTTTAAAAAAAAAAACCCCAAGCAAAAACCCATGAAATCTTAAAATTAAGTAATATTTAGCATGTAGGATTAAAATTACTATTAATTTATACCAGAATTAAATATCTTTCTAGATGGTGTATTATGTGGGGATTTTCTTCCCCTCCAGAGCATCCCATACAAATTAGGGATGGAATAGAAAATCTATCTACAAATTTTCATTGCATTTTGAAAATAGGGTCGTAAGCTTAGTAAGTTTTTCTGTAGTTATTTTCCCTTTTTTCTTGTGGCTTAAATACATCAGAACATGCATTTTTAGAGCAATACAAATTGTTGTTTGCAGTGCATATAAAATAAAAATCAGAAAAGCCCTTTCTGAGGCTGAGATTAGATATTTAGTGGTAGCATTGCTTATAAGAGCTTATGCAGTCACCCCTACCCTTAAAGCCTTTATATTCCCCTGCATCAGTGTTGGCACAAGTATTATTCAACACAATACATGTTTTACAGGATATGGGAAGAGATACAGATTAAAAGACGAAATAACCCAGAGGGAAGACAAGAGTTTTCCCTAATCAACTTCACCATTCACCTTCAAAGCTCAAGGAAGCAGGCAGTGCAGGGCACAAACGAGCAGTTGTCCCCTCACTGCATAAGTCAGCTGCCATTACCGCTGAAAGAAATTACTTGTAACACTTGCCTAAATTAGTTCTACATTAGGTTAGAATAGTTTTAAGGGTTTTGTTGTCAGGGTTTGGTTTTGTTTGTTTGTTTTTTGTTGTTTGGTTGGTTGGTTTTGTAGTTTAATCTAACCAACAAATAACACTTCACTGCAGTCATCATCTTGCAGTAAGTTTTGCATGTAAGAGCCATCACAGGCTCTGGATAAATGCAGAAAATCGACATATAGTTTTAAAAGTAAAGTTTATTTATACCTGAAATTTCAAGTCTATCATCACATATTTTTGTAGCGCTGTAGAACCAAACTGACTATTTTTGAAAACCTAACTTATTTGAACAGTATTTGAGACAAAATCTTCATTTTGTTAATCAGCATATACCCTAACACGCACACAGAACTAGAGCTGCCTCTTTAAAAATATTTATTACCAGTCTCCACAGGTAGACTGAAAATTACCAAAGTCTGCATTCCTTCCCAAATTACTATATATCATAGAAGTATTAAAATCAGTGAAGAATAATCTTTGCTAAAATTCCCTAGGTGAAATATTAAACATTGAAAAAAGTAACATCAATTATCCTATAAGCATGTGTACATTGGCCAGATGTTTTCATTGGATGACCTCCTTCTTTCTTCTTAACCCCAAAGAAAAGATTAATAAAACTGCCCAGAATGAGTTAATGATTCATCCTATTCTTTTCCAGATTCAAGCCTGGAAGGCCTGCTGCTGCTCAGGAAAATCTCTCAACCACAACCCCAGCAGGTATTTTGGGCCTGGCTTTCCATTAATTGCTTACTCTTGTAAATCAAATTACGTATTTTGCCATTGTTCCTCTCAATTTACTTCCAAGTTTATAAAACTACTAGTTGACAAGCAGTCAAATGTTAGTGCAAATTAATAAGATTGTTCCCCAATTTGTATCCTTTCTCATTTTAATTTCTTCCATGAGCTTAAGAAAGCAAGCTAATTCAAACCATGCATTGAAATGTTTCTGCCAGCAAAAATAATAAACTTTTCTCATGCTAAGTTTTGACTGATGATCTCCTAGACTTCTGCAAGTTATAAATTCTTTAGTTTGCTTAAATAAATATGAAGCAAAGGTGGTTTTATAAACCGTAAGTAACTCAGAGTATATCTAGGAGTGGCGAGGGGGAAAGGAAAATTCAATATCCAGTATTAACAGTAACATTATTTTTAAAGCATGTAGAAAACATACAGTACGTCAGTATAGTATTTTTCTCTTGTCCTGACATCTCGAAAAAGTTACACACTTCCAAAATGTCTGCAAGTGGGAATGGTCAACACTGCTGTCCTACCACCACCTCGTGTCCTCCTCTTTGTACTGCACCGCCGCCTTACCACTCAACGCTAACACTGTCTCCAGCCCTGCCACAAGTGACAAATAGTTCAAACTTGGCTTAAAGGAAAAAAAGTGGAGGAAATGCATTGAAATAGCATTGTGTGCTTATTGCAAAAATAAAACTTCAGGCATTAAGTAAAATTTGTATTTTTTATTGCTGATAAAATGAAGAATCCTTCTCTACAAAAATAAAATTCAGTAGGATTAAAAACTCTCTAAATGTGGTTATGTGGATATATTTTATGTTTCACACTAATAATATATCTCCAGACATCACAGAAGAGTTGAAAAATATTATCATTTCATAGCTTTCAAAAGTTCACATGCCATACAACAGTTACAGGGAAAAGGTGTTACGGTATTAAAAACAGTGCACCTTTTCAGACTCCTAGTATTTGTTCCTATATTAATTTCATGGAAGGAATAAATATGAATTCATAAGTCATACACTATTGATTAGATGGCTGAAATACAAAATAACTTACTTTCAAATAAACAGAATACAAAGGAAAACTTCAAAACATCTTTTCAGAAAGAGGTATAAGTCACATCACGCTTTGAATAAAACAAACGTGGGAAACGTTCCGGAATCTAAATGAGTTTATGGAAACACCTGGTGGAATAATTCAAAAATCTGATGATGTATGAAGCGTCGGTAAAATTATTATAAAATACTTTGTATTACATATAGATATATATATACACACACACAAACACAAAATCTCAAAAAAATTCTTACATAGTATTTTTAACTATGCGAGGCTAGCCAGATATTTCTAAGCAATAATCAGAGCAGTTATTTTTCTAGATCAAAGATATTTTGTGATTCTAACCAGGCAGCAAGTAAGCCAATCATTTCTTCTCCACAGTCATCTTAATGATGATTTCTCACATAGTTGTAAGTTCACATTTCATGTAAATAATTTTCCTCACACAAGAGAAAAAAAAATCTTGACCTAGAATTTTTTAAATTTTGCTTCCGTTGGGCTCTCTTTTCTTCAGTTAGCTGGGAAGCAGTTGCTTTCAGTAAAGCTGTTGTCATCTTTTATTACTTTTTCTTATTACAATGATCACGCTTTCATGTGCAAATAGACCAAATAATCTCAAATTTATTGTACGAAGGTAAATAACTGGAAAAGGTCTGCAATTAATAGTGAATTGCCCTTCAACTTTTGTGCAGTTAGTATAGTATCTATTAATTTGTGTACTTGTGAAATCATGCAAAGCTGTTACCATCCACACAAGAAATGGTGGGTTTAGAGTGTAAAAACCTCACATTTGTATTTATTTTTTACCACTTAACGAGAGATACAGATTAACCAGTATTCCAGTTAATGGCAGAACGGGTACTGCAAAGGAAAGGAAGTTTATATTAAAAATAGTATTTTCATTAACAAGTGTTATTACAATTTTTAATGTTCTTATGAGTGACAATTTTGGAAAGATATTACTAAAAGTCTTCTTCAGTTTGTCTTACTTCAGATCATATATCTTCAGTACTAAAAATAAGACCATAATTAAAGAAAAAATTATCACAATCACAAGAAACAAGAAAGCTGAGAATATACAACACTAGCATCTGAAGTATATTCTATAATTAATGCTAAAAAAAGTCCTGTTTCAAAAAAAAAGACCCAACATTTATATTAAAGAATATTGTCTTTTGGGTTGATACACAAATATAAAGAAACCACATACAATCAATAGTTGTCAGCCTTCCCTTCCTGTTATGGTACTAAAAAAAAAAAATACAGAGTTTGAGTGGGATAGCTAGTATTATTTAACCAAAATGTACAACACATTTAGAAGAATATTTTAAAAAATTAAGTCTTTAAGCGTATGCAAGGGAGCCGTAGAATCCTGAAAGCATTCAAAATAAACAGAAGAGACTGGATGACCTCAAAGGCTGAGGTAACAGAAATGAGATTAAATACAATAGTATATACAGTGTTAAAATTCTAGACGAAGAAAGCATTTGTACCTTAAATTAGGGACTCCAGTTGAAAATGGTAGTAGAGACTACCTGTGTAATGCCTGATACGCCATAGTATGATGAAATCATGACAAAATAAATAGGACGAAAGGATGTTTTGATGTAGTATTTCCAGCAGAAACAGCAAGGTTTTAATACTGTCCCTACACTTCCAGTCACTTATATTTAAGAAAGCTGATTTAAACAGCAAAGCTACAGAGAAGGGCTAGTACGATGAAAGGACAACTTAAACGATAGGAAAATGAAAATACTCTTCTATCAAAGAAGGTGAAATATGCTTGGTTTGTTCAGTTTAACAAAACAGAAAGGGAGACCTGTATGATTGCTCTCCAGGTAGTGCCTTGGCTTGGACACCAATGACAGAAAAATCACTGAAGCTAAATGACAATGTTGGTACATGAACAAAGTAATTTGGACTTGGGAAGATTTCTAATCCTGTGAGCAATGCAGTCAGACAACTTCTAGAAGTTACTAGTAAATGCAAATAAGCTAATTTGGTTAGAAATTGAGTCTGATCAAGTGAAGAAGCAGATTATACTGCAGATGGTGTCTGCAGTACCAGTGGACTGGAACTATGAAGGAAGTGCCTTTGGGTTTATGTGCCTAACACAGAGCTGCAAAAGAGTGTGTAAAATATACAAATTTGTAAGCATTCAAGATCCAAACATAACTTCATGACATAAAATTGATCCCTGACCTCCGTGTTCATCCCGTATGACAGAAATAGGCAGAACCATTAAAAATAAATTAGCTTTCAGCTAAAATTAAGGAAACCTGGCTTAAACTGCCTAACACTTCTACAAAACTAGTTAGCAACACTGCCCTCATATTGGATTTGCAATTAAGATTGTGCAAAAGTTTATTTAGCTACTCTGCCGAGTCATGCAACTACTTAAATGTTGATTTTTTTTTTTTGTAAAACAACAGGCAGAAGACCTGCTAGATGTCTGGAGCCATAACACAGGTGTAAGCTGGAAAGACTAATGAAAAAGATGATTTTCAGAATGTTACAGACTAAAGACTTGACTGACAATACAAGTTGAACCTGAATAAGGTTAGATAAACTGCTGGAAAAGGCATACAGTGGTTGGCTTACACAGCTACTGTACTCTGTAAAAGTATTTTGTACTTTTCATTCTATTAGGATTAACTAAAGCTGTAGCAGAGATGGCAGAAAGCAAGATGAATCCACAAATGATGTGGTTTAGTGTCTTAGCCAATATTCATTATCAGTTCAGGCTCACTCATCAGCCTTTGCACAGAAACAGCTGATACGCAGGCACACCTTTTACACTGTTGTTGCAGGGACCTTCAACTTCAGAACTGATAGCAAATATTAACAGAGTAGCAGTAACTTGAAAATCGTTAGAGCTATCTGCTTTGTAAGCATCAATAAACCCAAAGACAAATCTTGCTCCAGCATTTTTAAGAATTTTTTTTAAAAGTTATCAAACTCGAAAATCTGAACTTGCATTATAATGATATATGGAGGAACTTAAAAAAAATCTCCATATATATGTATTCCAACAACTGTACCTATACAATTTTTACAATTAATCAAACTAATTTTTAGACACCATACCACTAAAAACCATGGGCAAGAGTGGTGTGCATCATGTAAATCACTCTAAACTTACCTTCTTTCCCCAACACAAAGTTCAGAGTTGATGGCTTCCACTCCACTGTGGCATCTCAGCAAACACCATGGAACCTTGCTACCAAGGAACTTCACTGGCGAATGACGCCAGCTTACAGAGGGCTAAAGGGAGGTGTTTTTGTTTAAATACACAACATGATTTGGAAAAGAGTTTTATCTGTATGTCTCAAAGGATATAAAACGTTAGGAAACACTAAAAACCTCTGCCTCCTTCTAACATATGGATCCCACCAGCTATCCACTCCCTACAGACTGTCTCCATGTTTTAGCAGAGTCCCATGGTATCTACTGGGGCCTCCCAGCAGAGCAGGGATAAAAATTGGATTACAACTGGGGACAGAAGGTAAGCTTCAATTTAATTACAGATTCAATGCTTTTCTTACTCTTGCTGTTTAGGGATATTAGCTCAAAAGATAATACTATGTTTTCATATAATCTTAAATCAAATACGTAGCTATTAAAATGGACTTTTCTAACAAACAAAAGCATTTGATAAGTAAGCTTGTATGTTAAACTTTGATGTAAGGGATATATTCTATTACTACTAATCTCAAAAGAGCAGATAAATTCTAAAGGATTTTTTTTTCCTACAGAAACAAAATTATCTCAGACTGTTTCAAAATTAAGATGTGTCACCAGTGTCTTATGGAAGTGGAGAGTCTCTGCTTCTTTTTGTTCTAAACAATCTGTTTGGGAACTGGAAGGGGGGAGATGATAACATGTAGCACATTTTATAATGAAGCATAAGTGCATCTGCAATGATGCTTCTAGAATGACTTTTCCACACTGATGAATGTTCTATGCATTTGTCACTTTGTTCCCCTGTCATTTTGAGTCTGTTAAATTACTCGTTACACATGCATGTATTTAATGGAAGCTTCTAAAATTGATTAAATCCTTTACAATATTATTGAATGGAAATAAACCAAAAAAACAGCGTCACTCAGACTGTAAGATTTTGTCACGTTTGAAGCAGAGAAGCCTAGTGACTTTAACGTAACAGTAGTTCCATTCAACCTCTCACTCAGACTTACACTGTGAATCTGGCATTTTCCACTCTGATGAAGTAGTTAATGTTACTATTACCATTAGAAGGCAATAGTTCTCTGTATTTTGTGATAATATCATATTATTTCATTGTAATATAAATAAGGATTTCTTTTGCATAATCCTTGACATCAAAACACACAAGAACTCAACGCTTCATTTCTTTCCAAGTAGCTTTGGTGTTGTGTTGATTCACTGATCTGGTAGTTTGCAGGAACACCTAGGAAAATGTCTAACATTTCTGAAACTTGAATACATACTTAGAATGAAATATGCACATAAATATTTCCCTTCCTGGAGAAAAAGACAATTTTCTGAATAAGTCTGTATGAGAGCTACACTATATAATGACAAAGAAATAATGTTCATTATAATCCACTGAAAGCTGACAACATACTAAGCAGTGTACAGAGAGACACACAACCCAAACTTCTTAACCTTCTTAAGGAAATGGGATTCATGATTTGTTTCCAAGTCTTGCAACTTTATGACAAAAAAAGTTATCCTAGGTCAGACTGAAGGAACATCTAAGGCAGTATACTGTGTCTTACAATGGACAATCAGTAGCAGACTGTTAGAGCATGTAAAAAAGATGGGGGAAAGGAAGGAAAAAGTTAGAATCTTGTAATGCCAACAGGAAGGTTAATAAAGTTACAAGGACTAGAAATGAGTCCCCAATGAAACTGATATAAAGAAACTTGGATTATGAAATCTCATGTGAAAAACGCATACCCTGGCAAAATTGCTTTGCCTCTTAATGAAAAACAAACCTGTTTAGATAAGGAGAGCCAAGGGATTCATTTGAAAGTTGCCAGTACCTGAGAAAGACTGATGGTGGAACAGCGGTTCTTAAGCACAGCATCTGAACCATGTAAAAGCAGACACCTGATGCCAACACACTCTGTTCTGTCCCTTTTACTCTTTCACATTTTAGCGAGAGCATGTCTTCATTTTCTTTGAAAACAAAGTTAACTGCCAGTTGAGGAAATGAAGTATGAAGTTACAGCAGTGCTAACAAAAGGGAGCATCAGCATAACTGCTGAAGCCTTAAACTATACTGTAGTCTTCATCACAACTAAAGTTTCCGCTAACAAGTCTACTGTAAAAACATGATTTGGCTATTCTAAATTAAATATGTTAAAAAAAAGGGAAAAGATGAAGGGTTTTTTTTTGTTCTAAAAAGTAGATTTGCACAAATTATAGTAAAGTAGCAGGTTTTGTTCCCTAAATACATCCTCTAAACTAGAAGTTTACAGCTATCTAGGTCAAAGAACCACCATCCGCTACAGCTGCAAGAGTAGGTCTCATACGGAAATAAGTTCTCTTCCCTTTCAAGCACTACCAAGAGTGTCACTACTATTATTAAGAATAAAAAGCATCTCATTCATTTCAACTAAATGTAGATTGCAAAACTCATTGATCTGTAGCACAAACCTTCCTTATGGATAATTCTACAAGAGCAAAACAGTTGTTTCACCTAATGAAGAATGGGTGATGTTTAGTTTAGACCGCCAGTGTATAAGTGACTTGTTAACTCTCTGGCAATAGGTTTGGTATTTTCGCTGTGTTCTTTACACCCCTCTAGCACTCACCAAAATGGAACAATGGAAGAGGAGGGTGTTGATGCACTGAGAGGGAAGGAACTTTAATACCAACCTGCTTAGCACTTCACAGGTCATTCTGGTATTTTTCTTTTTCCACACTGTCTGACTGCAAGGAGAGGGAGTCGTCTTACACCTCCTCTCCTCCAAACCTTTGTTTCTTCACTCTCTCTGCCAGACACTCCAGAACACATCATCGTATAGCACTACGCACCATTAGCCTTCTTCTAAAACACTTGTATTTTTGTGACTGTAAATGCTTAAAAATGCTTCTCTAAAATATGAACAGGATTTCTACATAAAAAGAACCAACTGTTACTTAGCAGAGTATTACTTTAGTTTTTCACCCATTCATGTACACTAATGAGTCCATATTACCACATCAACGTAATAAGAAAAACAAGCTACATCTTGAAACAGTGTAAAGCACCTACTTAAAAGACTGTGGAAAAACTGTGAAAAAATGATTGCTCGCAAGCATAGTTTGAAGACACTTGCCTTTGCCAGCATTTCTAGGAGGAAGAGGAGGAGCATCTGCAGTTGGAGAGGTGGGTGAATCTGTGCTTGTAGAAGCAAAGATCTGATTGGTAAAAGCTCCATAGGAGAGTCTTTGCTTGTCTCTAGGAGTGCTAAATGCAGGATGAGTCATTTTGTCTTGGGGAGAAATGCTTGAAGAGTGACAAAAACTTTGGGGTCTTGGAGATCTTTCTTTTTTTATAGGACTAGGCTGTGAATAGAAAAACAAATACATTATACAGCTGTCTAAATACTAAATATAGTTAATATGTTTGGGAAAGAATATAACAGAACATATTCTAGTGAACATGAGCATAATTTCTTTCTTTATTGGACAAATAAGCCCACATTCCTCCTTTTCTCAATGATCCAACCTGAAAGATCCTCTCCTCTAACTGAAAAATAAAGATTGTAACATCAACAAATCATCACGTACGCCGTTAGATTTATTCTTAAAGCAGTAGACACAATAATATACTAAATAATATGTTAGTGAAAGGCTAGTAAAGTTTTTAGAATATAAGAGTAATTTTCAGTTCAAATAGCTCTTTACTCAGACCAGACAGTTATCCTCAAAGATCAAGTATATTACCCCACTGACACATATTAGAAATAAAATAACCACTTCTGACACTAGATTTATTTGTTGACTGAACTAGCAATATATTCAGTAGTACACCTCTTCTTTAAACGTATATAGTTGCTCTTTGAAGAAATTTTACACAGCAATTTTTGACGGCTGTACATTCATAGCTGCACATGGAGCACAATCTGTTTCATTGTAGCTCTGGTTCAGGCATGCTATTATCTCCAATACAGCATTAGTCATCCTCCTGAGGCTCCTTGCACAGATAATCATTTTGTCTCTACTGTCCTTGAGGACATGTAAATTATTTTGGTTTCTGAATTTTTCAGTCCCAAGTGTCACAGAAAGTGAAAAGTTGACCACATTTCTTTCTACAGCACCCATATAAAATAGGAGAGGTGTATTTGCATTTATTACAGAAACAGAGCACAGAGTAATTAACTGACTTGCTAAAGTAGGACACTGAAGCTAAATTTTCACATGTTCTAAGATGGCAATTATCCCATGCCCTCAAGTTTTGTCTTTCCATTACTTCTTTTTTTAATCAGGAATAAAATGCACAGCACAGTTTGTGAAAAAAATAGAGTTATTTATTCAACAACTAGGTTTTTAATTAATTTATGGAAAAAAAAGCTTTGGATTTCCTCCAGCTAAAAATTAACAACCTAGAATTCAGAAGGGGACAAAATGACAAAGTAATCTACATTTACTGATTTATCTTATATTGTATGTCTTGTCAAAGCAAAACTTCTGAACCTTGAGTCCATAATAACTAGGTTGACAAAGTGTATTCAAAAAGCACTTCGGCAGTCTTTAATACAGGCCTCAAAACTAGCTTTTTTTCCCCCAAAAAAAATCTATGAGAAAAAAAAGGTTAAAGTGGGTCTCTAATTTCTATTCCTTTTCCACAGAACAGAAATTTTGACAGTTTTTGTGCAAAGCTGTATCAGTAATTCATGCTCACCTTATCATCTAAGTCATCATCACTTTCATCAATTTCTTCCTGCCGAAGATTCCATTCATACTCTACATGGACATGTGGGTTTAGCTTTCCTGCCTTGGCTTGAGAAAGCTGAAAGAAATAACAATTCTTGTTAAAATACTTGCTGTTCCTGTGGTGTCAACGAGTTCGTTTTGTAACAGCAAGCAATAAACTGAAATATTTACAGGTTTAAAACTTTTCCAGACATTAAAAAGAAACAATTTCAGGGCAATCACACAAACATCCTTCATTTATTTGAGGTATAGAAGAACAGCTAAAAGGCAAAAAAGGAATGTTTTCTCAAAATGGGTAGAAGTTGCCATGTTTGACAAGCTTTTGAAAAGATGACATGAAGAGAAGGTATAGGCACAAAAGCAGAATGCATCTGGACCCCTCCTTTCCAAAAAGGAAAGGCAAAACCTATTTATAAATTCTATTTACTATTACCCCTCCAAAATCACAATCCTTGTGTTGGAATCAAAATAAAAGGTATTTATCCTTTATTTAAATATTTCCCTCCCTCTCACTGGATGAGGCCAATGTGTCTTAAGCACATTCCTCTACTTTGCCAGCCCAAATAATGTATTCACATTCTTTAAAAATCTATTACTTCAACGATCAGCAAAAAAAGAAAATTGCAGTTCATGATTATTCTGAGGAGATAAATTCTCTTTTTCAGGGCTTAGATTTCCCACCATTATTTATTCCTTCACATCTTTTGAAATGTAGTCTACTTGGTACTAGTTGATTCAGGAGAGCCTTTAACCATCTTCCCGAAATAAAATTTGGAAGAAAGTAAGTATTTTCAATCTGTTACGTAAGTATTAATGAACCCACTTGAGTTCAAATTGAATTTAATTACACAGTTAAGACTCCAGCTACGCAACAGAAATTAGCTTAGTACATCTACCATATCACAAACATCTAGATATTTATTTTGTACTTTTTTATTGCCCATGGTAAACATATGCTCATTCATATTTCTTTTTACTCTTAAACTTATCTCATTATCACTTTTGAGAAAAATGCAGAAATAATTTTTCTTTTCAAAAATGAAAAAAGGAGAAAAGGTGTAAATGCTCTATTAGTTAACTGAAATAATCAGTGAGCTATTAGCAGAATTTCGATTACAATAATTGAAACGATTAACTGCTAGATAAGCTCACTGATAACATCCACCTGTTTTTGTTTGTTCTACAACACAATCAGTTTTTGGTCCACATTAATGGCAGATGTTACTTTACTAAATATATACTGCAAAGAAAAAAGCAATCCATACCAATTGTGTGTTGCACAGCTAACCTTTTTTTCAGCTGACAGAATACTCAGAACACTGGAAACTACTTACACAGCAGACACGGGAGTAATTGAGAAGTCAGTGAGAGTACCACCTTATCAACCATAGCAAAATGTTGACTTGCATCCCCAGAAAAATGGAAAATTATTCTGAATTGTGAAGGACAAGTTCTCTTGATTAGGCAATAATTAATTAATACATGACAAGAACTTTCAATTGTCAAAGGAAAGGTATTAAAATTACGAGCTGCAGAGAAAAAGTAAATATCCTCTTTGGATCATCAAAATGAGCCAAAAAAATTTTGAGAAATAGAATTAAGCAGCAAGTGACAACTGTTTTGTAAATTCTGGTTTTGTCTTGAATGTGAAACTGCGACACTACTTAGGCTTTTTAATCCCTTGAGAGTACTTGAATTCACTTGCCTACTAAATGCATGCTGGTGAGAGGCACCTTAGAGGGCTAAGAACAAGCAAGCTTGTTGGTCTCATGTAGAATCCTTATTCCTGGCTAACTGCTTCAGAAGAGTACCTGGGAAAATCCTTTAACTACCACCTTTATTTCTTGAACTCCAATAATTTTATTGAGTGGCATCTGTTAACATCACTCATACATTCTCACAATTCCGGAAAGTTTTTGCTCTGATCATATTCAGTAGAGGGACAAAGTCCCACAGAAGCTGGTGTTTTACATTTTTTGATACCCTAACTTCCAGACATGACACTTTTGCTTCTTTCTCCTTTGAGGAGGCTTAATTACAAGTTGTTTCAATTCCCCTTGTAAGAAGGCTTTCACCATCTCTGAACTATCTGTCCCATTAAATAAACTGGAAAAAGCCAAAGCAGGAAAAGTCAAACAAAGATCCAGACCTAAAAGGTCTTGACAGATTTAATAGTTCAGGGGTTGTTTTGAAGTCCTGATAGAAATGTCTCTAAGAAGAACTTTTGAGGTGATGAAGCCCAATGTCCTAGAATGATGCATTAATTAGGATTCAAATACCTGACCCTCCAGTATTTAAGGTCTTCAAATACAGTGGTTAAAATAACTAAGTATTTCCAATAGAAGTAAGATCTTTCACTTAAACTGTTACAAAGAAAATGACTGTTGTGTTTTGAAGTTATGTATGGTAGGGCCTTCAGATCAGCATACAGCCAGCTGGCAGCAATACCAAGTTTGAGATACAGTGGTAACGATATGCTAAGTAGATCACATCTTTAAAGAAGTAAACCTCCTCCTCCCTCTGGCCTTTTCACCCCCAGTTCTTACCAGTTCCTCACATTGGACAGCTTTCACTCTTTTTGCTGTGTCCAGAGCTGTCTCTCCAGCTTGGTTTACTACAAAATTAACAATTAAAAAAGACAATGATTTTTTGAGATGTCTAAAGAATCAATTCATTAAGTTTCACTATTTTTAGCAGAGTAACTTCTAAAAGTGATCAAAAACGTCTATTTACTCTATAGCAGCTGCAGCTCTTTAAGATTCCCCTCTAAGTGCTCATGCATTTCATGTATCATCAGGTTCTTTCTGAACAGCAGCATCTGCTGGGACAGTTCCCAAATCCCTCCTAACCATCCTAGCAGAGAATATAAAGAAATTTAGTCATTTCAATCTCCACTCAACTCCTTTGCCAGTAAAACTCTTACATGAATAAGCCGGAAAAGCAAGCAGACAGGGTAAGATAGCTTAAAAAAAGAAAACTATTCTAAGATACTAAAAAAAAAATAAAAAAGGCAAATGTTGCTCCAAGCATCTTTTACTTTGATTAATACATAGCGGTTTGAAGCCTGAACTTGAAGACAGAAGTCCTATTCTAAGATGACATTTGAACAAGAATAATTTTAAAACTTTCTAGCTATTTTATCTTTATAAAGGCTATAAAATGTTTTACACTTTAAAATAACGCCTGCTCAGAAAGGTGGTATCTAAGCACTTCTAGAAGGTCCTCTGGCACAACATCTAATGGGATCCTTCCTAGATGCTCAGTAGCAAGTCTCAAGAAACAGAAACAACCCCCGAACCCCAACCTTATGTGGACAAACCTTAGGTAAAATTTATTCTTACAGTATAGCTTTAAATGCCATGGAGCTGGAACAGAATATGCTGTACATGATATCCAGATTGTAAAGCATTTGTGTGATTGAGAACTGAAAACAGTCAAACTTGAGGTCTCACAAGAAAATATGTCTGTGTGTAATATTACATACCGAATGCTAGTCATGAATTCTAGAAAATACAAAGCAGTCATCTAAAAAAGCCTATGAATTTGAAAGAATTAAGATCCCTAGAAGAAGGAGGGCTCCTTATGGAAAGATCTGAGATGGTTCAAGAGTTTTAATATGAAAAGGAATGAAAATACAATATTTCTTAACTGAAATTAACACAGAGATAGCTTAAGAGACTACATAAATTCCAAACTTTCAACCTTCAAGTATAAACCTGATGTTTCAAGGCCTAAAGAAGATACGCAGCTCCTATGTGAGAGCATTTAAAAAAAAAAAAAACAAAAAAAAAACCAACCCCCAAAAAACCCCCACAAGACCCAAAAAGGTAAGAACACTCTTCTGGCATCTACCTAGGAGAGAGTTCAATGGAAGGACCAATAAACAGGCTTAAGCTTGTTCAGATAGTTTTCCCATTTTCTTAATTAGGGACATATCTGCAAAAAAAAGGTCACATCAAATTCTTTGACTTATGATAATATTAGAACATATTTTAAGGATGTATGAAAAGGCCAAGAAAACCAATGACTTCTGCCACTGAGCTATGAACTTAAATTCATGCAGCAGTTTTTTTACTGGGCAGTGGAGGAAAATGATGGTGATGAGGAAAGGGAGAAATAAAAGGTCATACTCTTCAGTTTGCACCAACTATTCAGAAAGCTTCCCTCCTATACCAAGAACTGACAGAATGCAAATGTTTATTACAGACATGCTGATGACACTTAGCTCCTGAGCCTGACAAGCTGGATTCATGGAATATCTTCCCAACTCTCAAAATATGGCAGAGAAAGGAGAGCATCTAGTAAACAAGAGATTATTCTAAGTCTGAGCAAACAGTTTACAGAGATTCTATTTTTAATTAAACTTTTGCTAAGCCATGATGAAAAATGGACTGATGTAGGTACAGCAAATGTTACACCTATCTCACACATGAGGATGGCAAACAGAAGAAGAAAGACAGCTGAGAAAACTAATCCCTTCCCCAATCAGCTACAGTGGTGGCTAGGGCATGCTGGGTGAAGCCGCAGTGCCAACTAACATTAATATTAAAAGAAGAATTAACTGTTGTGTACACAAAGCCCACATACATCTAGAGTGGAATTAGTGTGAGCAGTCATTTGGAGCATAACAATATATAAGTACTAGATGAATTTTACAATATAAACAACAAACCTAAATTCCAGGACATTTACAATGCATCAGAAATAAAACTCTGCAGAAGAACTAGGGTTTACCATTATTATTTCATATTTTGTCACTATTATCTTCAAATAATTTAAATTCCATTTCTTAACTGAATGCTTCCCTTAGGCTTGGTGGTGGTAAAGTCTTCATCTTTCTAATACAGTTTTATTTTTCCTTTTAAACATTTACTTAACAGAGTGAGACATAAATAAAAGTGGTTAAAATAATGGAAAGAAATTTTAGGAAATTTTTATTTCCTAGTTTTAAATAATGAACTTACCTACATCAATAGTTGGCTTCCCCCTCAAAAGCAATTTCAAACACTCAGGCTTATTATACATACTGCAGTAGTGTAGAACCGTATTACCCAATGCTGTTTGCTTATCCAGGTTTCCACTAAACACAAAAGAAAAAACAACCAAGAAAAGTATAATATGCTATGCTATTCATTTCAGATTTAGCATCCCTATTAATAATAAATGCATAACTACTTTACTGGACAAATATGAAGTAGAAAGAGAAATAAATATTTTTAAATTAAACATTACTTTCAAAGACTATTAAGAATAGTTCCAAGCATACTGGAAATTCCTGAGCTGTGGTTGAAAAGGACTAAGCGTCTACAGATGTTCGTAAAAAAAAGAAAAAAAAAAAGAAACTCAAAGAACTCAAAGATTCAAACCTAACCCTTTGTAACGCTAGTTGTTTTCCACCTGCAACTTTATTGGAATTTCTTTTTTAAACATGCTAAATTAGCCCAATAAAAAAAATCTGAAAAATCATTTTGATACAGTTAGAATAGGTTAATAAGTCCCACGCATTCAAGGAACTATGAAGAGGGTGGCTGTGAGGATGCACAAGAGAGTCATAAGAAGGAATATAAGGATACACAGAGTCAGGGAAAGACAAGCTGTGCAAAGGGGTACTTCCTTCAGTTTTCAATTTCTAAAACAAGGTTTCTCAAAAAAAAGTTACTGACATATTGGGATCAATACAATACATTTATAAAAATGAAAAGAAAAGCTCAGAAGATGGCAGCTTTTCTTCCACTCAGTATTACGCATATTGGACAGTAAGTGCAGAGCCCATATGGTTGTAAAGATGCTCTTAAATTTGAGATTAAGACAAAAATACAGACAGCTGACAGAAACACATAAAAGATGATAGTTGTCTGAAGAAACTATGAAGCTTCATAACTAAACAAAATAATTTAAAATAATAATCCAAAATAACAAATCTTTTAATAATGCTCAAAATAGTAATTTGGGATTCTAAAACATTTTTTAACTTACGATCTCAAACAGCTTGCAAATATTAGTAGCTTATTTTTTGTTTTGTTTTATTTTTTACTTTAATAACACTCCTACAATAGTCAGCACTCCATTTAACATGAGGGATTAGTGGTAGAATAAAGTTTAAGTGAAGGATACACAGCTAGTCCAAGAGATGGTGTCAGGAACACGGATTCCAAGTCTGTGCTGTTACCAGAAGACCAAACTTCCTCTCTAACACTCCTATACACAACGCTACATAAACTATTAGAGAAGGGAAGGAAAAGAAGTAAGTGTTCACTGACTGCGTTTCAATACCAGGTATGACTTGCTGTGCTGAGGGAAAAACAAAAATTTTAAAAAATCCTCAAGCCTTCTCCCCGCCAGCTCAAGCAAGTTGTGATGAGTCTTCTGTATTTCCCCAACCCTCCTCTCTCATCGTTCTGCAAAAACCACCATCTGACACAGTAAGCAACTACTGCTTCTTTCACTTAACAGCATACTATAGAAGTGGACTGGAATTGATCTCATTTAATCATTACCTATGTTGTGAAATATATAAAAGATAATGCTGTTGTGAAATATATAAAAAATAATGTTTTTGTGAAATATATAAAAAATAATGTTATACCACTACACCTTTTTTTTAAAGAAAATGTTTTCATTAAGGTTTTTCACTTCTATGAACACATCTCTTGTCAACAACAGAAGTGGACTGGAATTGATCTCATTTAATCATTACCTATGTTGTGAAATATATAAAAGATAATGCTGTTGTGAAATATATAAAAAATAATGTTTTTGTGAAATATATAAAAAATAATGTTATACCACTACACCTTTTTTTTAAAGAAAATGTTTTCATTAAGGTTTTTCACTTCTATGAACACATCTCTTGTCAACAAAGAATAGCTCAGCCAATAAACTAGATGTTGAAAATCACTAGTTAAGAAGGTTATGCTCTCAATAGCTTTAATACAGTTTATTAACTATTAGAACACCTTTTTCAAAGTTAATTTAACTTCTATTCATAATTTTCTGAGAAGAAAGATCCTTGTTTTCTACTCTTACAATTTCTTTGCACATGTCCTGTATTTGGAATGTTTACTTGTCATCCCTCCTTTACCTGAACTATTTGTTTGTATTGTTTCATACTGTCATGCGTTCTAAATCAATGCTCTCTTTTGCTCTACATAGTTTTTCCTTTCAGCCTATGTTTATATAACTGCTTTCCATGTTTTTAATCTACACTTCTTTCCCTCCCTCTACTCATTGGGAGTACAAAGGTCAACTCAAAGGTATTAAATTATGCTCTTTTGAAACATATCTAAGGAGAACGATTATAAGTGATGAGCAAACGCTGTCCAAAGCACTGCAAGGATAGCTTTGAACATTTACATTTTTCATGCACAATGTAATGAAAAATTAGCAATCCATACCAGTTTTGTACAAGGAAGTCAACCAGATGGAGAGAGGTTTGGTCAGCAGTCCGGACTGCTAAATGAAGTGCTGTTTCACCTGGCTCCTAAACACAGGTAAACAGAGTTAGATTTTTGTGTCTTGCTTCTGCAAAGCTTGTAATATCAGACCTACTGAGATATATGTCACTCAGTCTTCTACAACAAGTCTTTCAACAGAAAAATACTATTAGGAAATCATGACAAAAACAGTTATTGCCCTTCTGATCTCTGAAAGACACCATGTGCTTCAAAGGAAACAGCATCACACTTTCTGAGATCATAGGTTTCTCAAAACCAGTATTCCCTTTTTCCCAGCTGGATGGAACAATCCTGAGGAGCCTTCAACCATTTTAGCTACTAGTAATTAAAAGGGATCCTGTCAATGAATACTGAGTGAGTTTACAGTACTTGTTGCTTTATGACACCTTGGTGAGCACCAAGCATAGCCACAACACTACCTCTTACAAAACCAGGGAAAAAAATCCAAAAAAATCATAGTCCTACATACATTAAATCTTTTACAGAATCACAGATTGGTTGAAGTTGGAAGTGACCTGCGCAGGTCATCTGGTCCAACCTCCCTCCCCAAGCAGGGCCACCTAGAGCCAGTGGCCCAGGACCCAGATGGCTTTTTGAATATCTCCAAGGATGGAGATTCCACAACCTCCCCGGGCAACCTGTGTCAGTGCTTGGTCACCCACACAATAATAATAAAAAAAAGAGTTTCCTGATGTTTAGATGGAACCTCCTGTGTTTCAGTCTGTACCCATTGCCTCTGGTCCTGTCACTGGGCACCACTGAAAAGAGCCTGGCTCTGTCTTCTCTGCACCCTCCCTTCAGGTATTTATATACATTGTAAGATCCCCCTGTGCCTTCTCTTCTCCAGCTTGAAGAGTCCCAGATCTCTCAGCCTTTCCTCATCCATCAGGTGCTCCAGACTCCTAATATCTTTGTGGCCCTTTGTTGCATTCTCTCTAGTATGTCCAAGTCTCTCTTGTACTGGGGAGCCCAGAACTGCACACAGTGCTCCAGCTGTGGCCTCACCACTGCTGAGTAGAGGGGAAGGATCACTTCCCTCGACGTGCTGGCAGTGATTTGTCTAGTGCAGCCTGGGATACCATTGGCCTTATTTGACACAAGGGCACACTGCTGGCTCACGTTCAACTTGGTGTCCACCAGGACCCCCAGGTCTTTTTCGGCAAAGCTGCTTTCCAGCTGGGTGGTTCCCAGCATATATTGGTGCATAGGCTTGTTCCCCCCCCAGACAGAGGATTTCTCTGTGCTGAACTTAAACTGAATCATACTTTATTTTTTTATATGTATATCATATGCATTAATGCATTTAAATGAAAATATAAATGCTGTTTAATTCCGTTTAAAAGTTGCATGACAAATTAATCTAAAACCAGATTTCATTAACTCCTGGTTAATGGACATTTAAACCATATGGACATTTGGTTTAAAGGACATTTTAAAAATAAAATTTTTAAAGGACATTTAAAAAGAAGTATATTACAGTACATATTTAGAATTAAAGTCACAACTTTAAATAAAAATGACTTTATTAAACATCAGATAATTTACAGTGGAGAATGCTGCTATAATGTCCTAACTGCAGACCACATTTCAATTGGTGTTCATACCTTTCTAGGTATCACTAACTGTAACAGCTGAGAAATGCTAAAGAACTAACTCTGTGGTAACTGCTATGGATGACAAATATAGAAAGTTTACCTTAATAGCTTGAGAATTTGTAATGTCTTTCCATGATAAGTACTCTGTGACATCTCAAGTGCTGAGACTATATTGAGCTTATTCCCTCTACTCGATACAGACAAGCACTCTGTCCTTTGCCAAGTTAGCTATTTTCACAGAATTTGTTGAAAACATTCTCTGAGATGTCTCCAAGTTGGGTTCAAAAGTAATGGGAGAAAACATTGCCGACGAAGTGGTTACACAGCATCAATTATCTATAAAAACAGGTTACGTTGCTCTTGAGCAACATTTCTACATGGATACTTAAGGGCAACCGGGACTGATTTTTCTGACAAACTGTTACTGACTTCAGAAGGAAGATCAAGTGTTCAGAACTTTATTAAAAATTAAAAAAAAATTTCTCTCTTCCTGGTTAAAAGAAATTGTACTTCTGTAAATGTTTCATCAGAAGCTGTGAAGGCATCAGATTTACTCTTTCTTCATATAGAGCAAACAGAGATTTGTATACAGTCAATAATGTGTTCCTTCAGCAATTACTTTAAAAGCAGATATGATACTGGCTGTGATATCAGGTGACCCTGGGTTATCAAGTCAAGCCGTCTCTCTTTGGGCCTTTTCCTAAAAGAAACATACTGCAGAACAGGTGCTTTTCAACATACTACAGTTCAGCTAGAACAGCGTATGGTATTACTATTGCATTTCACCCTCCTTTAGACCAATTGATGACAATAGATAGTCGTCTTCTCCCTCCCCACAAGGATGCCATATTAAGGAAAGGAAGAAAAAACCCATCGTTTTCATCTGTTATTTCTCTTGTTTTAGCATCTAAGGTAGCAGCCCTGGGTCCTGGACATTTTACAAATACACATTATTTAAAATACTCTGCTTTGTTTACCTGATAAGCTTACCTGTCCAGGCTCTAACAGTGGCTCCATTAGCTCTACCCCCTCTGCATAGACTTGAATTAGTGCAAGTAAATCCCTGGATTTGACAGCCTCAAGTAATTCACTCAGTTTAGCTGCTGCAGATGCACAAGTCTTCCTAGAGAACTTATGATCTACATATTTAGCAGTGATAAATTCTTTACGTGCAGTCCTGTGGAGTGTGAAAATAGAGCTTGGTTTAGAAATTTTTAGAAAAATGGGTCACTGATTTAAATTTAAAATCACCTTGCCTAACTCAGGAGCTCAGAAGGGAAGAGGAAAACTCAGATAAAGACCGTGTTATTTATTATTATAATGCATGTCTTTCCTGCAAACAAGCCCAAAATAAGGTACATATTAAATTTTATCCTGCCTTCTTGTTACACACGAAAATTACTCTGACTCTGGGGACTAAGACCAACAAAAAAGCAAAGCCTGAAGTGGAAACATATCCACATATTAAAAACGGGATAAGCATGAAAAACATGCTAAAAACAAGATAAGAGAAAAAATACTAAGTCAGCTAGAAAACAGCATAATAGGTTAAAAGGTCTTCTGTGGCAAAACCACATCTCTTATGCTCTCTGTGCAATTTCTACACCAGGGAAACGAAGAAAAAGCTCGTCACCATCTCAAGACAGTACCTGAATGAATCATCATTTAGTCCAACTGTGTGTATTACTTGAGGATACACTACAAAACTCAAAAACATTCAAGATTCAAAATAATGAATCTTGAAATCCAAACTTAAAGTTTTCTGCACTGAGAAGCTGAGGTAGTTAAAATATGACTACATGACAAGAGACTGAACTTCTAAGAAACTCCACAGTTGGAGTAAAAAACCCCAGTCTTCTGCCATCCTAGCCCTTCTCTGGCTTGGCTACTGTTTAAGATACTTTACATCACACATATATTCCACAGTAAACTTAATGTTAAAGAATTTAGAGATTCAAAACTTACATATCACTTGATGGACTGGGTTTAGGTGAAGGACTAGGTAAATTCCCTTCCATAATATCATTAAAACTAGTATTTCCTACATTCTTGGCCAGCTGCAATAAGAAAAAAAAAAAAAATATATCTGAGGGTGGGGTTTTTTTGGGTCTAACAGCAACTTAAAAACTGGACTATTAATGTGCATTTTCCACACTACTAATAGAAGACAGAACACACAGGATTGCAAAATTAAAGCACAATGATTACATTTAAATATAAAGCAATTAAAAAATATTTTGAAACGTTAATCCTATCATCCCAGAATTTGTACAACAGGCTTCACAGTCACAGCTCATTATTTGTATTTCAAGACAATCTGCCCCCAATATAAAAACAGAACAGCAGCATGAACACTGAAGCAATGCTAATACACTGATCAGGAAATTACTTTTTGAAAGAAGCTCAGACCTACTGGAAAGTCGTGCTTAGTAAAATATGATTTAAATTAATAGTAACTTTGTAAACAACTCAAGATTTCAAAAAGAGTACTAGTGCTAATGTTAAACCTATACACAAACCCAGAACTGCCTTCTATCTTCTCTCAATTTTTCCATACAAAATTTCTGTAACAAGTGTCTTCTCAGGCCAAACACAGTTGGGGAGATAAACCTGCTGTAACTAGGGGGGGGTTGTTTGTATCTTTTTTTCTTTGTTTTTTTTTGGTAGTCTCACATCAAATTCCTTTCACAACTTTAATGTTACAGGGTTTCTTCCATCAAATCAAAAGATTCATCCAGCATTTTTCTGTCAAAATTAGCAAAGGTCATTCTCACTTGTCAAGTTAAATTAGCTTTTGGTTTTTTTAATCACATGAGATTTTAGACTGTCCTGATTTAGAGTCAAGATCAGCTAGTAACAGGCAACATTCTGATGGCACTAATCACAACTGATGTCAATATTCATTCTGCAAAACCTCAGGAAATGAACATGAGAAGTGACAAATAGTCAAAAGCATCAGTAATACATAATAGTAAAAACCCTCCTGTAAGATACACACAAAAATATGAAGACGACATTCTGCAAAATCATACCTTGAAAGAAATTAACCTTAAATTATACACCTGATATGTTTCCTATATACAGGTCAACATTTGACTAAAAAAAAAAAAATCCAAATTAAAAAAATTTACCAAGAGTTCAGACGTTCCTAATTTGTCTAATTCCAAAGACTGGATTCGAGAAATATGAACACCCATTTCTCTGTGTATTCCAGAACACTCAATGCAGGTTAAAATGCCCAAATTAGTTGACAGCCATGTTGGATCTGCAGAATTGAAAAACAAAATATTTAATCAAAGTCCAAGAAAAGGTTTTCAACGGTGGTAAGAAATCCCAATGTATTCTGAAATGATTCCTCATTTAATTTTTTAACAAATGAAATAAACTAAGAATATTGCATACTTTTCTCCAAACTGCAGTGCATATTTAACCATAAATTGCTACCAATTAGAATTAAGATTTTTCAGATTTCGGGACAGTCCCAAAAGCACTGAATTTAGACTTATAAATCCATACTGAATGACTGTATTTCAATACATTTAGGATTTGTTTCTTGTAGAAAGAAGGTAAGGCTTTTGTTTCCTGTTTTTAAAAGGAACAGATCTCCTAAATTCCACTGTTGGCAACCTCTGAAGTTTTAATCTTTATTTCTTAAACTTTAAATAGTCTTTCTTCATAAAAAATTAACCATAGCATTTTCCAATATGTAAAATAATATTATGCTGTAGAAAATTTAAGGAACTCTGACTAGTCCAGCAAAAAAAAAAAAAAATTGCTGTCATGGAGGAGATCTGCATGTAATATTTGAATAAATCTTACACTATAATGCTACATAAGAAGCAAGACCAGTTTCTAAGGAAAAGAAAAAGCTCCAGACATAGTTTGTATACATACATGTCTTCAGATTTATCTCTTCCTTGATCTTAAATAGTAACCGATAAAGCATTAAGTCAAGAGTTTTAAAGCAGCAAGCTGGGGTGCAGGAATGAAGCTTAAAACTTCACTATAAATTACCAGATGAATGAGAACTGTAATCCAAAGTTTCTGTAGTAGCTTTACATGATGAAGTAATTGAATGAACCAATTCCAGGATTTGGCATAATTATATTCCACTTTGCATTTTTATCTAGGTATTTCTTATTTGGATCAGTAATGCATCAGTAAGCAACTTCAAGATACATACTGTCTACTCAGTTCCAAATCAGTATCACCTTCTTGATAGTGTCTCTTTAGATGTGAAAGCTGTAACAGCTGCCAACTACCATATCGATTCAATAGTTCTATGGTAAGTTGACTCTTCTCAAGCTCTAAGCGACATACAACTGACCTGTAACTCTGTACTTCTGAAGATATAATCCGATAGGATTCCAACTCTGGGTCTCATTCTTTGCACAAGACTACTTATTCCGCCTCTGAATATTTTTGATACTGCAATTTCAGTAGTCCCATGCCAAGATAAAACCTCAGAGGAAGATCCTGGCCAGGTCAATTTTCCACAATCATTGTCTAAGCATTACTCACTTCTACTTAGTAGCATGCACAGGATCAGTGATGCCAAGCAACTTCCATTCAAGTGCAACAAGCATCTAGAGACAGTGCAACAAGAACAGTTCAAACTCCAGAGGGGCTTGAACTGCTGGAAGTAAGCACAGACAACACACAAAAATATTTTAGTGAATTAAACAGAACTAGTGTATGAAAGTCATATTTGTTCTTTTAAAAACAGGTTGAAGACTGATCAACACATCACTTAGAAAATTAGTTTGCACTCTACAAACACTTCTTTAAAGAAATTACTTTGCTCCCAACAAGAAGTTGATGACATTAACAAATTGAGATACCTGGTGAGCCACAATCACAACAGACTTCATTTCCGGGTAATCTCTGTATGTCATCAATAATGGCTTTTGTCAGATCCTCTAAACTGTTTTCCCCTGTGCTCTGCTCTCCACGGAATGCCATATTTAATGCTTCTTCTTTGCTGTTAGTCAATACTGATATCCATCTAGCACAAGATAAAGACCTTAATGAAGATCTGCATTTGCAAATTCAAGTTAATCTATAAACTATAAAAAGCTTGCCAGGAACAAAATATTAGTGGGAATACAGGGAAGGACTCTATTGTGGGAGGGACTGAGTGGGGGAAAAAGTGAGAGATGGAAAGGGAAGAATGAGAAAAGACAAAGACAAAAAGTCTTAATTCTAATGTCCCTTTGGTGAACAATTTTAAAGTCAAAGCAGTACAGTTCTCAGGTTCCTCAAATAAGCAGAAGCTGTGGAAGAGAAAGGGTGCAATTAAGCTCCTGTAAATTTAACTGATTTAGAAGTAGATGCCTAAGATCTTCCTGAAGTCTACCCCATTATTAAAGGGGAAAATTATAACCACTACTTTCTCCACTGTGCATCTCTCTCTTCATAGAGGAGACAGCAAGCACATTTTGAAATGCGTTGATGTCTAGTTGCCTTTCAAAATGCAGGTCTCAGTGCACTAATCAGAGTCAGACTGTAATGTCCAAATTAATGAAAACTGCCATGGCAACAAATGGGGTAAGGAAAAGAAGATGACAGGGGAGTAACGATATCGACAGCCAACAAAATTTTAAGAGCAACTGTTGACTGCAACAAATCAAGACTCTAATGATATTTCAGGCACTAGTTCGCCCCCCCCAACCACTCTGCAAGTTTTTGTTTACACAATAATGTTTTAATTAAAAACAAACAAAAAAAACCTCTCAGTGGCTGCTGCCCTACAAGTGGAAGTAAAGAGGGGAAAGTGGTTATACTAAGGACAAGCATATTACAGATGCAGTGTTACCTAATTTAGAAAAAGAGCAAGTTAAAAAAAAAATCCTCCTATGTATAGTGACTTTAGATGTTTTTAGATCTACTGCAAATACACTTTTTTTTTTTTTTTACACAGAAATATTTTAAATTGGCAGTGTCTTCAATCCATTTCCTGTTTACAATATCACAATTATCTGCAATCATCAATCTTTTGAAATGTGCCAAAACGGCTACGGTCATCTAAACAAACTAATAGAACTTCAGATTGAAATTCATAATTTCTCACTGAAATAATAATGCAAAGATAAACTTTAAAGGATTTCAGAGGGAAAAGTATGTATATAAAATTGCAATACAGATTCAGAGCCTGAACTGGTATATGGGCACCCTTTATTATACACTTCATACACATACGTTTTTAAAATTTTTATGGGCAGAGAACAATCTAAGAACTTGTACTTAAAAGAAAATGCTTAAAAAATTATTGAAAAAAATCAACCTTAAAAATAAAAGACAAATTGAAAGATTTGAAAAGAATTTGCTCCATAATCTACATGCTGAAAACAAATATATTTAAATTAATCTCTCTCTTTAGCTATATGATACTAAATAAGAACCCACACTAGATGGCATTCTTCTGCAATTTTTCTGATGAAATCCAATGTTACTAAAAAAGTAAGAGGCGGCAGTGTCTTGCTTCTAATATTATAATAATGTTCTGTTAAACACACAGAGTAAAATAATCATTAAACTCAGACAGACAACATTTATTCTGACATTCGTTGACAATTTCTTTCAGGGTCACAATTTGATTAGTTTGTTAAAAATGCAGAATTTGAATAAAACTCAACTCTGCAGTAACAACTAAAAAAATTATTAGATGCAATTAAAATAAACACGACATGACTGAGCCAGCTGTTAGTTTGATAGATTTCCATATTAAGAGTTTCTAAACTGTAACTTATTTTGGTTGCACTTCCTCAGCTAGAAGGAACCCACTGTCCAAGTCTGCATGTCAGTGGTGTCATCTGCGAGACAGTCAGAGCAAGAGGCACCACAGTGTCAGCTCTTCCCAGACATCAGCAGCAAGGCCCATTTAACACAAGCACAACAACAGACACATTATTAATGACTAATGCCATTTATACAGGAAGTCCCCAGTTGGTCACCAGGCCTTCCTGGCAAGCTGTACACTCAAAAATAAACAATTCAAATCAGTAAACATGGTATATTAACTCAGTATTAACAGTTTATAAAAACTGTCTTATGACTGCTCTTCTTCCCCTTTTTTCTTATCTGCACTAGTCTTTTTTTTCTTACTTTTTTTTTTTTTTTATAAATACATTTGCTTTATTTCACCACTGTCAAGCTAACAGTCAAAAAGCTTCTGGTAATACTTCATAGTGTTCTTTCAAATAATTTAAAAATTACTCAAGTCTCACAGAATTGCTTTGTCTTCTATCTAATACAATAAGACAGGTTGTTCCATCTTCTACTACACTTTTCTGCGTCTCAGCAGTTTCTCATGGTCCTTTAAGGCATTCTGTTTGCTGGAGATTCCCACCTTTGAAGAAAGTCATGAGGCTAAACAAAAATCTGGCATCATGGGTGACTTCTGGATCCAATGAAGACAACTGAAGTATTTATTAACCTCCGGTGGACCAGACTCTCAGATTCCTCTTATTTTTCTTCAGTATTTCTAAGCCAATAAAAGCCCTCCCAGAATAACCAGGCTAACAGTTTTTTTGGTTTGCAATAAAAATTTATCTCTGTCTCTTCTGATAATCCCTATTGCAACATTGTTGTTTCCAGGTAAATGCATAAACAGAACACTAGCATAGTAATTTTCAAATTTCCAGAAACAACTTTTTTGTATGGAACAAGCAACAGATAGTATCAAGACCTTCCAACTCAGTCTTCCGAAAGTAGAAAATGTCTGAAGCCTGTTGCTAAACACTAGACTGAAGTCAGATCTGTGTTTCTTCATAGCAAAATTTCTGAATATTATATTTCTGTTTATAATCCAGGCTTTTCCTACACAAATGGATATACTCTTGACCTTCAAAAAGAGAGTAGAAAAGAACTAAAAGGTCATGTCCAGAGTCTATTTGGCTCTATCCACAATTATCAAAAAGTAGAAAGCATCTATTATTGTATATGTTAAAAAAAAAAATCTGGTTATTTTAGAGATCTGAGATTACGTGTTTTATAATACACACATAAATACACACACACATATACTTCCCCGCCCACGCATTAAGACAAAAAACCCAAACAAACTTCACCTTTTAAACCAACAAATATAGTAAAAACTCATTTATGGCAGAGACACAAAACCTTCTGACTCATCAAGTGCATTACTGATCAGAAGTAACAGTATTTTCTTCTTGGCTAAGAAACTTATTGGAATAATTAAGTTCCAGAATGAATGCTGTAAGCATGACTAGCAAGTTAGCTTTGCACTCCAAGAGCCAACAAAGCTGTGGAAGACTCTGGAAGGAAATAGCTGCATGACAAAGAACTCTCCAGCCTTCCCATTTCATTCATGCCTCTCAATGCTGAACTGTCAATGCCATTGCCTCCCAACACTACCAAACAACCGAAATACCCTGCAAACATTCCCTGTACCTTTAAAATACACAACTGAGCAACACAGTCTTCCATCAGAATATGGACATGCAACAAAAGAGCACAACAGTCCTGAAGAATGATGCAGCCTGGAAGGCTCAGGCTTGCTGCCCTCTTCACTAGTAACTTTATTCCTCAACTTATCAGGTGACGAGCATTAAATTGCAATGATCTGCGCAACACACTTTTGATGATACTGAGAGCAATATTCAGGAGGAAAAAAAGTGGTACATGGGTCTCAGGACAAGAAGTAGTTCTGATGTAGCAGGAAGAAAGATTGTTTTAAAGGAAATAATCTGGTTAGAAACATGCACTAATGAAGCAAATTACTAGATTCTGAAGTACACAAATCTCAGAGAACTGCTTTGCTGTTTATTTCTAGGCCTACAGTAGAAAAGGTCCATTATCTGTAATTATTTTCTATGTGTTATATGGAGATCTTTTATCTATTTATTATTTTTAATTTAACGGAAAAGGTACAATCAGGAGGAAAGGAAGTAACTGCAAAAGAGGGTTGACACAGAAGACTTAAGAATAATTTAAAAATATTTCATTTGAACCCTAATAACCTGATCTACTATATCATGCCAAGCAACTGCACACGAACCATGTGCTAGCAGGGTACACAATCTAAACGGGTTTTTGGTTGGTTGGGTTGGGTTTTTGTTTTATTTTGTTTTTAACGTTACAAGGTTTTCAAAGAGCCCTGAAGTGTGACACAAAATAGTTTACGCTTATAGATGCACAACGGCAGAAAAAACAGACAGTAGGCACTACAACTGCATTAACTGAGAAAACTATTTCCACTGTTACATGTGATTTCATACACCTCTGTTGGCAAAACAAACTTGAAAAAAATGTAAACATTCTTACGCTACGTATTCCTGTTCATCTTCTGCTTGAAAGTGGTATGTTCTGTTATCTGAAATAAATAAATACATCTTTTCATTTGGCACATGATAAATTTTAAAATATCTATATATTGTTACTAAAACCTGTTTGGCAACTAAAGCCTTGAAGAGCAATTGCTCTTAACCAGCAACATTAATACTTTATTCATAGCTATGGAAAACAATTCTAAAAGAAACAGAGAAAGATGAAATTGTGAATTTTGATTTACACCAAATGTATGTATTTCAAAAGTCTTATGTTTAGAAATATTAAAGAAAAATAAGCATATGAATCAAATTTTGTCCTTCTGTCCTTCAAATCTGAAACATAAGTAGCAGAAAAGGGCAAAATGAATTTGTTCCTATTATATACTTTTCCCTCCGTTTGGGTTAAGAAACTTCTTTTTATTAACCAAAGGATGAGATATGAACTGGGTATTATCCCTCACGTTCAAAGGTTTCACAGACTGCCCTTGTAAATATAGAATGTTGGAACTGTTTGTTGTTTAATACTATATACATAAAGACTGAAAACAGTAAGTTGACTCATCGACTTAAAAAATGTTTTTAAAATCAGACTGGATATAAATACCTGCTATACAAAACCAAAATGGGAAGAAGGGAAATCACAGGAGCTTTAACGTTGAGAAGACAAGTCACTACCAATTTTAGACAAACAGAACCATATTTTAAAAGGAGGATAAGAGAACAAGAGAAACTGGGTTCTCCCTGCCTTCCTCAACACCCCAAAGAGCACTCAAAAAGCAGAACAGACAATGAAGGAAAAACAAGATGAGGCCTAAGGTGTTTTCCATTTCCTGGTGGATATAGCTTATGCATGTTCCACTAAGCTGTTAAACATCTCTCTGAACTTAGGAGAACAGCACATATGCTGCATTTTATGGCTTGTCACAAATGAACAGTATTTATGTCACACATACCCACAAAAAAGGTTCTTTATTCATTTGTCCATTCAACCCATCTTCAAACCTAGCAGGATCTGAACACTCGCAAGGCACTGCATGTATCTGGCTACACACTTGAATTTTGAACAGTAGCCTTATTTTTACTCAAAGTATCTTGCGATAACATTTTTAGAAATCCCACATAATGCAAGATGGTACTACAGTTGCTACCTACGTGATATTAGATCAAAAGACTTTTTATCTTCAGCATTTGGCTTCACCTGGCAGGTCAATAAATTCAGTTTAGCTGGTTGCCTATTGGACTAAAAAGAAAATTTATTTTACTTTAAAAATGTCTTGATTTAGGATTATTTTTCCTTTCTGGGGAGTGGGCATGTATGATATTAATTTACAGCACAGGCATGCATACATGTACACCCTCAAAACCCTTGAGACAAACATGAATTTGTCTGACTTGGTCTGTCAGAATGCACAGACTGCTAAATCTAAACAAAATTAAAATCTTCATAGCAACTCTTCCTGACTATTTGGAAGGGATTAAAGGAATAAACTTTAATTTAGAACATGCTGACACTGAAGTTTTTTATTGTATTTCACAAACAATGGTAAAACTATTATGCAATTTTTCATTACAGCATGCCCATATTCCAACTTTCCTCCCATTTTAAATAAATCAAAGATACAATCCTAAAACTTTAAGAGGGAAGAGAAGAGATCTGGAATTTCAGAATTTGGAATAAATACAGCTACTAATATTCTCTGCTGTAATTAGGTTACTTAAGACATGATGTGTCTTTGAAGTATTTTGGGTTTATACAGGTTTATCAGAAACCACAGAGATACTGAATGAAAGCTACTACAGCTGGCAGATATAAACTGAACATGAGATGTCAGTTATCAGTAAATACTTCTGAACTGAGTTTTGGAAGTGTTCATGTTAGAAACTGTAAACCAAATATAAAAGTAATGCAAAACCAGCAAACAAAAAAAAAAATCTCTAAGTGCATTTACCACATTGTCAAATGTTTGTCAGAACAAGCTCATCAACACAATATTTTTAAGGCTTAAGGAGCAACAATTCTTTGAAGGAGTAAATATGCGATTGGAGTCTCAGTTTTCAAAGTTTAGCCTTGAATAGGCTGTCATGATCTGAACTCTTCATCACTGAAAAAATGAAAGTTACTTTCCTCTTGGCACTGCAACCAAAAAAAGCAATTGCGCTGCTTTTACACAGCTACATACAAGAAAAGGAAAACTACAATCAATAGTGCAATTCAAAGAATTCTATATTGGCAAGTCTTAAGCTTGAAAATACACGTTTGTTTTTTTTTTACATGGTGATAACTGAATCATTACTAACCTCAGTATAAATAATTTACGCAAGTGACTCCTCAAAGGAGGCGAGGATTATCTTCCTAGCCATTAAAAAAAAAAAAACAAAAACAACACTCCAGTACAAAGTGTAGGGACTTCCCTTTAACTTGCTTAAGATAGGTAGTTAACTTTAGACACTGATACTCATGGCCCTCAGTGGAATTTGGGGCGGAGGGGAAAAAAGGGTGATGAAATGGGACCATCCCCTTTGCAACAAGTTTGTGTCATACTGCCGCAAGACAATTTTAGGACTGCCTGCACCATGACAATGTTGCTGTCTCCTCATGATTTAGCATTCCTAGGAAGATACTTCAGATATATGTCTGATTCCCAGAACTCACTATGATCAAAACTTTCCAAAATTTCACAGTTTTAGTTGAAAGCACTCAAAATATTAACACATTCACTCATCTGTCAGACTCTATCAATAACATCTAGTATAAAAAACTTCCCAAGTTTCCAAATTATGTTCTTCACAGATATACTATGACAATCCTTATGAGCAAAACCAGTTGAAGTATTAATTGAAAAGTCTATTCAATATATTTGCCATTTTCTTTTCAAACTATTGATAAATACATATAAGTATTAAATCAACTGCCATAAGCTATAGCAGTGGGAAAAAAAAATGAAGAAAAATTTTAGACGGTTAAAGAGTTCACTTACTTCATACAGTCCACAGGAAGTTTTAAAATTAATTTCAAACCAGCCTTTATTCCCATTTTCTCACTCTGATTAATTGAACAATTTTAAATTTTTTTACAAAATGATTGTGTAGGCATTAAACTGTTTTAAACAGTTAACGTCCTATGTAGAATAAAACATCTGTAATACAGTCATCTATGTATGAGCTAGTTATTGGTCTTCCAGTACAGTCAACAGCCAGAATTGAGTTTATAACAAGACATCTGACCAATTCTACCCAGACTCCTTTGACTACATTGACCACCTCCCCAGTGGCTAAGAGAGAAGTCTACAGGATCTTGCTCTGATGCAGACAGCTACACTATAGACACTTCATTTTATTCAGATGAATCACATCCCGTATCTCAAAGGTATAGTAAGAACCGGTGTACTGCTCCATTTAACCTGAAGTACTGTTCCCACTAGTGGTCAGCAGCAGACAACTAGGAAAAATTTTAACAGAGCAAGTATAACAATACTTCCCTAAGTCAGTCTCCAACTTCTGATAATCCACAGAACTTCAACAGTTGGAAGCAGAAGCGGCATTTTTTTTTTAATAGCAGATTAATACCAACAGATTCACTGGGAAAGGATAATGTTAATTTATTATTTTAATAAAAAGGCATAAAAATAACTTACCGTTGCATGTGATATGGTAAGAATTCCATTTTTAACAGTGCACTTTCTTCTTTGCCATACTTTCCTTAACCTACATAAGAACACCAACAAATTCAGTGACTAGACATGATTTCAAAACACATGTTAATCCCATTAACGTTTTGAGAAGATTAGCCTTGAGAAACAGATGCAGTCAAAATTTTACTAAATGCCTCATCAGAAGTAACGTGGAGATTTATGGCAGGTCTTAATCACCTTTTAGAGACTTATAAAGCCAATAGCTTTCTTTTTAATTGACTTTTTTTTTTAATGATTGTTTGTCATGCTTTTTAGATTTGCTAAATTAAATTCAGATCTGTGTTCAGATTTGAACTGTGAAATTCTTGAGTACTTGTGGCACATGCATTAGGGGAATGTACCTTAAGCACCCACAGTAGAAAACAATAAAAATCAGTGCAGGAACATAGTAATAGTTCTCACTATGTATTATGCGCTCCAAGAACATACCCATCACTCTTCTTTAAAAGATAACCTTTCTTCTCACTGCCATATTCCTTATTCCCCTGAAGCTGATGCATACTATATCCTCCTTGCCTGCTCTGTGAATCCTAAAAAAGGGAAAAACACCATTAACGTTTCCTGATGTGCACAGTAAGTTTTCCTAACCTTTACACCTGTTTCACTTTATTTCTTTTCTCTACCACAACTTCACAAATTATTAAAGATTAAAAAAAAAAAAGAGAACTCCTAATGCACGTTTTACATCCATAGGAGAGATTGCTTTTACATCACGTGATCTTGAACTAACTGCATGTTCAAGATTCAATTACTTCATTAGGTGTTTGAAGTATAATATGGATGCAAATATGCATCTCAAAATAATGACTTCTTAAAATAGAAATTTAATATTGCATAATCTTATAATCAAAGAGTAAAAGGCTAAGATAAAATTTCAAAAAGAAAGCAACAGAATATAGCATGCATATATACAGAAAAACACATATATAAACAAACAAACAAAACCAAATGCTAATAATCACTATTTTTTTTAAAATCCAATTAAAAATATGTACACAGTTCATGAGTTTTAGAGAATGAAATCAACTGAAATAGCTTTTGGCCTGTCCTAGTGAAACAATTGAGTGAAATGGATTAACTTGTTATAAGCATATCAGAAAAAAAAATCCCCAAAAGTTCATGAAAACATTGACTTACTCTCCTAGACTTCGATCACGAAAGGCAAAAGCAATAGAGGAAAGAGAAAGCAAATAATTTACAACAAGAATTATTATTTTTTTTTAAAAAACATGTTCCTTGAACATAAATTTTATAGCCCTCTTATCTAGGAAAACAATTTTTCCCCTTTCTAACATCACTACTAGAAAGAAGGCAAGAATTACTTTTTTTAGCACACTGGTGCTTTTTCTTGTCAAGTAACAAAACATTGTAACAAAATTCTGTGCAACCTTGCATGTATGACATTAGCTTCATAAAAGCAACTAAGATGACTACAGGATCAAAGTTTACTAAACATCTCCAAGTCTTTATTACATGTAAATTGTCTAAAATGATAGCTATATTGTATCCTCCACCAAACTGGCGCTAATTATGAATTTCCACTGAAAGAGATCAGGCCCAAAGTTAACTTTTAATTTTTGCAAATCTATATAAAAAGGTATAATTAAGGACACATCGATACAGTTTTAAATGTAGCTGTGAAACAATTATCTGTGAAACAATTATCTGCAAAACATCTGACAAAATTCTACAAAAAAAAATTCCAAAGAATGGGAAGTTCAATTACTCCCTTGGCAATAACCTTTTCTCTTTCAAAGCAGTTTCTTACAATTTCCACAACCAATATATATTGAAGATTATTCTCTCCTGTTTTATTCAGGGTCCTTACAACTGTTTTTCATTTTGTACCAAATTTGGGATAGGAGTTTAGAGAGAAGTGCTTTGGTAAAACTGGCAGTTATGGTTGGAAGCAGCATGAAGGCTGCTATGTGCAATGTGCTGTCAGCAGTAAGTGTTTACACCATCACAGTATGCAGCTAATTTATTATAAGTACATTTCGAACCCCCATTGGAATTAGGGTGCTATTGGTCACAGCATAGGTAAGAACGTAATGAGATATAATTCCTGTTCCAAAGAACGTATCAGATGGAGATTTGGGGAAATAAATCAAAATGTAGAGAAACAGTTCACAAAACAGACACAAAAGATGATTCTAAAGACTAGCTATGTTCAACATAAAGTTGTTAAGTTACATTTGTACTAATAATTAATATACAAAAATAGGGAATAGAAGCCTGTATTAAAGGTCTGGTTTTCTTTAAAATTTAAGCTTCTTAACATATAAACATTTTTCAACATATAAAATAAATACTTTACGCAATTAAAATTACACTAGTGTCCCTTAAAATATTTTCCCCCAAAGCTTTAAACCATAGTCATTTTACAAAATCAGATCACTCTTGCGCAAAGTAACAGAAATTGCCATAACTTGATAATAAGACAGTACATAGTGGCAGCAGGAGACACTGCATGTAACAGAGCCACAATAAATTGTACTTCCCGCAGCGAAGCTACAGCACTAGCACTTCTGCGTAACCCAAGATTCAAAGATTGTCAAGATGTGCTCTTCCAAGAACCAGGTAATTGCAAAGATTACAGTAATAGTTTTTTCACCAATGAAAGGACAGGTATGCCAGCAAAATGTGTGAGAGCATTACAGATGTCCATAATGCTAAATAAGCACCTTGAATGCATGCAACAGTAAAACAGGAGTTGCATTATGAGACCTTGAAAGTGTAGGATATATTAGTGTTTCTTCCTGAAAGTATGGGTGCTGAAGAGTAATTTTTCCATACATATTATTTTTAATTCAAAGAGGTCCTAAATGCTTTAATATATTTAACAGCCATGCAGGAATCTCTTTTTGTCATCTGTGACAGCAAGGCTGTCTGAGATGGGTAGAAAATCTCACTTATCTAATGGCAACTCTAAAGAGGTTAAAGGTGGCAGAATTTACAATTTAGACAGAAATCACTAGTTTCAACTTCCTTGTCTTGCACAAAGGGTCAAAGAAAATTAAAACTACACACAACCATGGCCTCAATTATTTTATTATTTCAAACTGTTTCCCTGCCAAAGTAATTTTTGGTAAGAATACTTCTGAATCTTTACAAATCCACCAGAGAAAATCCCACTCAGTTCATGCTCTTCAATATTTCCATTAATCCATACATTTTCCAACGGTGAGATTATAATGCACTAATACAAGGGGGAAAATGTATTCTTAATCACAACCATGAGGCCATCTGTCACAGCAATAAAGCCCAGCTTTACGTACTTGAAGATTTGGATATACACAATGATGGAGAACTGACTGGGGAAACTCAGGCTATGTGTCTTCAAGTTTTGTTGTCACTTAACTAAGGAGTAATGAACGCTGGCATGCTATTTCAGGATTAAAACACTGAATACCTAAATAACAGACACATCGTTTTACCAAGCTCCGCATATCTGCCACTATCATTACGCTCTGACTCAAGTAATGTAGCAGAATCACAAGAGTGAAAGTCTTCATGTTGATTTTGAAAGAGACACTTGAACATCAGTGTGAGCAAATGGTTATTTTATCCAAAACAGTGGATTCTTTCATTAGAGCAGATCTCTCTCTCTCCCGTGATTTGCCTGAATGTCTGAGAATCACAACATTGCTCCTTTTCCTTCTAAGACACAATTTCAATTATTTTCAAGCCAAACACTTTATTTTTATACTTATAACTTTTTCTATAGTTATCATACATATACACACACAGTTTTTCAAGAGTCCTAGGATCTGTCTACACAATAATTAAAGTCATAAAGTTGCATAGTTTATTTTGGTGATGCCTAGGAAGCTACTTTATTACAACATGTATCTAAGTTTCAGAATTCGACTTGTTTAATTTTTATATTTTAAATGAGGTTACTTTCCACTGAAACAGAATAATTTTTACTACACATGCAGGAAACAGGTAACCAAAAAACCAAACATCACGTTTCATTTAGTTATTCTAGTTCTGTTGTGGTTTAGGCCGGCAGGCAGCTAAACACCACACAGCCGTTCACTCACTCACGCCCTCAGTGGGATTGGGGAGAGAACCGGGAAAAAAAAAAAGTAAAATTCATGGATTGGGATAAAGACAGTTTAATAGGACAGAAAAGGAAGGGAAAATAGTAATAATAATAATGATGATAAAAGAATATACAAAATAAGTGATGCATAATGCCGTTGCTCACCACCTGCCGACTGATGCCCAGCCAGTCCCCGAACAGTGGTCGCTGCCAACTCCCCCAGTTTATATATACTGAGCATGATGTCATACGGTATGGAATACCCCGTTGGCCAGTTTGGGTCAGCTGTCCTGGCTGTGCCCCCTCCCAGCTTCTCGCTGGCAGGGCATAAGAAGCTGAAAAGTCCTTGACCGGCATAAACACCACTTAGCAACAACTAAAACATCTGTGTGTTATCAACATTATTCTCATGCTGAATCCAACACACAGCACTATACCAGCTACTAGGAAGAAAATGAACTCTATCCCGAAACCAGGGCCTCATAATGCTCTGTGAGCAACTTTTGAAACCTGACTTGTATTGTATGCAGCCATGTATGTACAATACACAGCACCGAAGAACAACCTGTTAGTCCTACTTTATTTCCAAGAACCGGCTGATTACCAAGTAGCTTGAACTTAACAACATACGCAGCAGCCAGCAGAGAAGGAAGTATTTTTCTTTGCTTCCCAGATAATCAGCTTGTGGAAGAAAAAGGTATGTGAGAAGAGAGCAGGTCTTGTTCCTCTGTGTATTGGGAATCGATTCATAAAAACACTTCAGAATTTAAAGCTATTTCCAAGTAGCTCTTGAAATCTGATGTTTTCTGTTCAACTTTTGGGGATGAGGATGGAGAACGAGCATTAGTTACGTTCAGACTGGTTTAGATACTAGGGAGATTACAAATGTAACGCATGTATGGGAAGCTCTGGAAGTATTATGGAAGAGATCTAGTAGGTCCATGCGCACATTGGAGATGGAAGGAAAAAAAAATACCAAACAGAGCACTGGAAAAGACTGTAGAGCATGCAATAAGGGAAGACTGAGTACTAGAAAGAGCTGGCAGGTCTTACAATAAATTGGGATCTACTCAGAGGTGCTCTGTAGTACTCCTGCCATCATTTGTGACGTCAAAGAAATTCTAAAAACCACGTACAGTGTGTTGTAAGGTTGTCTCGTCCTTCAGCGCAATGGGATTAAAAATGCAGGAGAGGAACAGCCCTCTGGCCAAGGTTTACCTGCTATATAATGTACATCTACATTACGAAACCACACATAGGCAAGTATTCAAAATTTAATAAACCACCACCACCACACTGTAAGAAATGACTCATCAATCATTCCTTATTAATTGTGATTCCACCTGAAATAATTTACTAACTTAAGCCATTTATCTACACGCAGTAGCCATCATCACAATGTGCTACCTACAAAATTACATGAAAGCCCATAAAAATACTTACTTGCCCCAGTTACTAAAGGCCTATTTTTGAAGAAGTTCCAGAAGAATTCCAGGAAAGTAAAGATTAGTAAGCTTCACACCACATAAGGTTAATGAAAACTACTTTTAAGAGTGCATTTAGTATTATATACACCAGAAAATCAGTGCAGCTTTTGTACAGAAAGGTTACGTCTCAAAAATCTGGAGTTCTCTGAAGGAACCAGTAAGTAGAAATACATGAGAAATTAGACTGATACAGTCCACCTGGACTTTCAACAGGCACTTAGTGTTCCTTATGAAATTGAAAGAATTACATTGCTACAGGACAAGAGGAAAAGTCCTCAGATGAGCTAACGAGTTAAAAGCAGGAAACAAACAAATGAGTTTCATAGAAAGCTGTGCCAGCACATGTGGTGTCTAATACTAAAACAATCTGGAAAAGGGTGAACAGTAAATGTCAAAGTTTGCTAGATGGTATTGAATTATTCAGAATACCCAAGAAAGGCTGACTGAAGAATTTCTGAAGGACCTCACGATAGTAACTAGACAATAAATGACAGGTGAAGATCAGCATAAACAAATGCAAAGTGATGCAGAGGGGAAAACTAAGATACTATGAGTTGACTATTAACGTTCAGAAACAGAATGCTATGGTTATAGCTTTACAGCTGGTTAAACGTTACACACCTCTTTCTCTGCACTAAGCACTGGTCAAAAAGCAAGTCAATGTTAGGACTTATATGAAAAAAACCAAGATCAGAAATGATCTAGTGATGCTATCATAAATTCACAAGCACCTCCATCTTGAGTAGGGTATGCAGATCTAAAAGTTCAAAACAAATAAAAGGAAAAAGATTTTTCCACATAACATGTAGTGATGGTGGGAAAGACACAGCTGTAACAGAAGCTGATAGTTTACACTGCTTCAAGAAGCAACTGCACAAATTCAAAGAGAGGAAATCCATAGGGTGGTGGAGACACTGCAAAGACAGTCAAACTACTAATGGGAGGGTATTCTGGGGAAGTATCAGTGTTTATTGCCCTGCATTTTACTGTAAACATCCATGACTGATCACTGTTGGAAACTTGGCTGACTGAGTACATCTGGTTGTAAATTATATTCTTATGTATATTTGATATTAGCAATACTACCCAATCATATAAGTGGATGATCATATATATATATGCAGTAGAATGGCATCTGTCTAATGTTTAATTATAATAATAATCCATATTTCATAATAAATATTTAATAAGCTGAGTAGACACCTGGCAAATACTCATGTTTTATTGAAGAGAAAACTGAACAGAGGGTAAGCGATCTTTTCCTAAAGGAAAGTCACCCCATTCCCCTCCAGCCCACCACCCCCAACACTCAGCTTCACCACGTGATATTTAGTATTTCTGACACTCAGGCCCTATGGTTTGGAAAAAGTCACAATATTATCTCAGGTAAACACTGTGATATATATTGTATCCTATCTCCTAGTTCAAGGAGTATTCCAGAACATCTGCAGTGGACATTGCATGTTCCCCCTTCACTTCTGATACCAGCATAACTGATGATGTGTTTTTCTTCTTAATTGCCCTGTCTCAGCCACTTCTATCTGGTTGACATACAAACTTTCTTCCTTATGATACAGTACTAGCAAAAAGGGTTTGGGAGGGAGAACAACATCACAAAACCCATATGAGTTAGCAGATGAATAGTAATACGGAAACCATACATTTCTCATTCTGGCTTACTCAGGATCACCTAGGTCAGGAAAATCCTGAACACAATCTGGCTGGAGGATGGCAAGACACAAGAAAGACGTGTGCATCCCATCCCTTTATATTTTTTCCTGAACGTTCATTCTTTATCATTGTCAAGGACAGGATACTGGGCTAGATGAAGCATTTAACTGATCCATTACAACTGTTCTTATAGTACATTAAAAAAGTACATAAAAAATATAAAATTACACAAAAAAAGGAATAATTTCTTTTCATATGTAAAATGTAAATAGAAAATTAATCCCAAACTATTGTTTGTTGGTATTTGGACATTCTAAATATTAGTTTTGTCATAATGTTCAAAGTCCAACTCTTCTGAACCAATAACTACACAAATTGAACATCAATTAAACGAATTCCTGAATACAGAATTCATAAATTCACATTATCTCTGAGAATAACATGTCTAAATTATTTACCTCCTTCTGATCAAGCTGCAGAGAAGATTTTATCAAATCACGAAGAGCAGTAAGTTGTTTCTTTTCTTCATCTTGTGTCTGTTTTATCTATGGAAAGAAATTGCCATTATACGCTTTCTGGATGCAAGTTTAATTTTAATTTTTTATGCATTCCAATATACAATTTTAGATGTCCTGAGCAACCAGCTCTACTATTCTGTGTTTTCTAATATTTGAGTTTATTTTCATGGACTAGTCCATTCTTATGTATTCACCTTCTATGCATGTATTACTTGAAAAGCAAGCTACAATGAACATACAACTCCGCAAGCTCTGTTCTGTTACGCTTTAACAGTTCGTTACATCTAATGTAACTAAATTAGTTTCTGAAATATTAAGTAACTCCAGTAAGCTCAACAGATGACTTAAGGAATGAAAATACAGTTTAATTTAGCCACAAACTGCAATAGCAAATGGGATTATTGTAATTCTTATTATAGAATACAAAAGCACTTGGGTGACAAGTGAGCTTTGATTCCACATTATTACTTGCCTTCCATGAACATCATAAGTTAATTCATTCAAAAACTGGTGCTATCATCAAGCAGTTCGTTGTGGAAAAATGAAAGTGGTAGCTAAAATTGGTGCTAATAATGTAATCTGATTCAAAGATTCCCACTTTAGTTTTATTTTAATGCAACATTAAATTAGTAGTAGAATGAAAGCTGCTTTTCCTAATAACTGTAAAAACAGAATACAAAGTTTAAGATAGTCAAGATTTTTTTTCCTCAGTCTAGCTACATTCAGAGTTTCAAAGGACACACTTTTCATTCATAAAGATAGAAATGAAATATACGCCCTTGTAGTTATATCTAAAATGTATTCATATAAACAAAATATTTCCATTTTCAGACATTAAACTACTTATAAGTAAACTTACATTATATAAGTCAGCAGCCAACTTTTCAATATATTGTTTAAGTTTATCAGCTGTTTTCAAGCCATCTTGGAAGAAACTATAATGAAAAATACCTGTGATTTATCAGGAATACATTAATTCATAACACAAAGTACACCGTCTTGCGGAGAAAAACAGAAAAAACCAATAAAACTTATCCAGCTCCTCCCATGTTCAGAAAGCAAAAAAAAAAAAAAATCTCTGTCCCAGTGTGAACTGTTCTACTATCAATCTAACTGCATGATAGCACAGCTTCCACATTCTTCTAACATAATATACTTCAGAAAGGTCAGACAGTTGCATTTCAGTCCAGAAACATTTAATTTACTTTGCTGATTTAGTCTCACTGTATAAAAATACGATGAGCCAAATAAGCAGTTCACATGTTAGTATATGAAATGGCAACATATAAAGGGTTAGGTTATAGATAAACAGAAGTTTAACTCCTATCCTCAAGTTTTTATCCCAAATTAGAAATCTGAAGGAAATAATTTGATATTCATCACTATGAAGCTTTTTTTTGTTGTTTTTTGTTTGTTTTGTTTGTTTTTGTTGTTGTTGTTTAAAACCCTTCCCAGAAAGTATGATATCTTTCAGCAGTAGAGATATACCATTGTGACTGTAACAAATACCAAATTAAGAGAGAATATAGCTTAGCTTATTTTTTTCCACTGTTAGTCAACATGTTTCTCCTTGGTAATTTCTAAAATCTCTTTCCTGTATTTAACTTAAGTAAAAGTTCCTGTATGTTTGCCTCTGTGGTTCTACTGATGACAAGGTCCTATCTTACTTATCTTACTTCAAGGAATTTCAAAGAAATTACTGGCTTTCACAATGGTTTTAAAATTTACATAAAAACTAAAAACTATTAAATAGAATAAACAAGCTATTTCTAAAATTACATTCTAGATCTATGTCTCAGGAACTAAAATTAATTTTGTACACAACATGCAGGGTTTTCCCTTGGCCTCTTTCTCCACCACTCCCCTGCCCCACTCGCTCACTCTCATACTCTCTACTGAAAGACTACAGCCTAATAAGATGAAGTTGCAGGCATCTGGCAGATTACAATTATGATAAAAAGTCCTGATGTAACCAAAACAAATTCAAAACAAAGGGAAACAAACACTTGTGTAAAAAAGAAAATTGTACCTAAAGCTTAAAAGCATTGCACTTACTTGCATTGTGCATGATAATACTTAATAAGGTTCTGCAGAAGGTCCACACCTTTTTTTGTCTTGATCTCGTTAACCTTAATAAGATACTGTATAGACAGTGAAAAACATGTTGATAATCATGCCTCACAACCTTCAACAGTTTTCAATCAATAAAACATCATTTGGTCAATGAATTAATTATCTCTGTGTTTAACCTGGATGCTGACTCATAAGCCACCAGTTCACCAAAGTTAAGCCAAATATAAAACAGAACAGTTTATTTGGCCATTCCTAGAAAATTCAACCCCCCCCCAAACATAAAACAAATTCAGGAAAAAGTTTCATCTTTTACAATTGTCTGAAGATGTGCCTTTTTTAATGCTACTGCAGTAATTACCGAAATATTCTAAAAATATAAATATTATGCAATTTAAAGTGTTCGCCACCAAAACATAATAAAGAGAACTATTAATATAAAAAGCAGTTTTATGGAACTAACTATCACTATCATGTATCACTTTATTAGAAATTTTAGAAGGCTTCAGAAAGCATGCTGGAAGAAAGATATCAAAAATACTTCCTGAACTGCTCAACTACAAACCTGAAAAAATAAGAAATATTTCCATAGTATATTTTCAGTCCAAGAACCTTAGCATAATAATCTAAAACCAAAGAAACGGAATAAAACAAAAGGAAGCCATGTTTTGTACAGCGTTGCTAAAATAATTATTTTTATATTGCTGTACTATGTGACATTGAAATAATTTCCTCCCTTCACCCCCATTAAACGACGAAGTAGATTTAAGTAAGGCCCACAAGGTACTTTTAAGTTATGATATCATAACTAAAAGCTGAAACTTGTTTCTTACTTCACACATCTGTAGCTGAAATAGCCGCCTTTCCTTCTCCATTTCCTCTGCTATCTCGGCTCCTGTTATTTCAGTTCTTATCATCCCATGCTGTTTTGCATGTTCTCTTTTTTCCTTTTCAATTTTTGTACTGAAATTTTAATTAGAAAACATTTTAGAGAATTTATTCTACTATCATGTGATCTAGTATTATTTATGGGGGGAAAAAAAAAAATCAAGAAATATTAAAGAAGCCATTCTGAAGATGAGTTGCTCTATGATACCAAATCCTATATTTTTTTTTATGTTTCCAGAAGTAATGGAGTCATGAAGCTGCCCTTCCTTCCTTTCATCCTTTAACTCTTTTCTCTAGTTTGTGTGCTACTTGGGCAGGGAAAAAAAAAAAAAAAAAAGAAAAAACCCTACTCACTCTTTCTGTATGACATACTCCATAGCCTTCATCTCTATATACTGCAGTGGAAAGCATACATATAAAAAACTACTGACTTGGCAGGAAAATGGCAGAATAACTTAATCAAATACGTTTCATGCTCCTAAGGCAGAAGTTAAGAAAAACAGTAGGCTAGCATATGAAGTTTACCAGCTATGCTAAATGACATGACTTCCAGTCACTACATTTTCAGAGAAAGCCAACACTGAAATTCTGAAATAGTGAAATGCAAATATGGAACTAAGAGGCCATCCTGAGACTTTAATTAGAGCTTTACAGTGTGGCTGTCCTTACATATCTATTCTGCAGACTAACTGGATACTCCGTTTGTAAGCAAACTTAGATTTCCAATATAGAGTAGAAAAATCTAAACAATTTTATGATGTCTTAAAAAAAACAACCAAACAAATCTTTCTTCTCTAGCAACCTTTTTGAAAAAAATAAACACTGAAGCTGTGCTTCTGTAAAATAGGTGATAAAGCACCGTGTGTTTATTAGACTGGTGCTCCTTGCCAGGAAACAAAAAAATTAAAAAGGATTAATTTATTTGTTTTTGAACTCTGCTTTTCTCCAACTAAGAAATGCATAGTATTTGCAGGTAGAACAAAGCACTTTTCAGCACTGCATCTCTAACCGTGACTTGATATTTGGTCTTGAACAAATTCTGGGAAATGGGGTTCTCTGAGAAATGTAAGGGACATCTCCTTTTTGGTCTTAATAAGCCCAAGTGAAATTCGCTCACAAGAGGTGGGGGGAGGAGGGGAAAGAGAAAAACACGACAACAGGCATCTTTCCGTAAACTTTCCAAATTCAGAACAGAATCCCATAGATGATTCCATGTATTCAGTCTGTATGAGATACCTCTGTCTCCTAAGTTCTGTTTAATGGCATTTGGTACAAATAGGCTGGCAAAGATAGCCCTGATTTTACATATAGCAATTTGAGAGGCAGAAAGATTTTTTTTTTTTTAAACCAGTTTGCTGTCTATAGAAAACTATTCAATATTTTTGCAAAATATGCAATATCTGTAAGAATTAAATAACCAAAAAGGAACGAAAAAAACCATTCTGCATGTAAATCTGAATGCGCAACTGAGTACGATGTTGCAATCTTGGGACAGGAATCTCCTTTTTGCCTTAGATTAGTAATAACCTCACTTCCAGTTCAGTTGTTCACAAGGATTTAACATTGTAATGAATTTTGAAGGCAAAAGTTACTATACGTATGTAAGAAAATTATGCCGATAGATGTTTCAGCAGTTCTTAGTGGTCTGACTTTTTCTTTCATTGCTTTTTTCCCCTCCTGCTTAGACATAAATGAAACAAAGATAATAATAAGATTAAAAAGGGGAATAAATGAAAAGATACAAAAATTGAATTAACTCCTGAGAGCTTATGAATTCTGCTACAGCAACTGCCCATCACTTCCTTGAGAGCATTCTGAACCATTCCACTAACATTTCTGCAACTACAATACTACTTGTTTCCAATCTGCTATTTTTATTAATCATTCTTTACCCACAGAAGACTGGTATTATAGCAAGAAAATATTTTTAAAACCACAGATATTTTAGAAGTCACGCCAACTGCACTAAAATTCTAGCTTCTCAAAAACACAGAGTTCTGCCATGCAGGACAACATATAAATCTCATCATTTTCCTATCGATAGATTTTACGTATATGGTTATAAGAATGTGTAAATGCCATCTGAAATCCCCACAACTCACTGTACAATGTTCAGTATCTAAGCATTAAGTATCTTTCTTACACTAAAGAATCATTGGGCAGTCATTTAACTACTTCACAGAGAATATAAAAATATTTTGTTTCTATTAGTGCAGAAGAGAGATCCACAGAAGAGATGCCTTGCTCATATTCATGTTTACATCCACAGATACATTACATAGTTTAGGACCAGAGAAAGAAAGAAGGAAAAAAAAAAAAAGAGGGATAAAGATACTTACAATTTGGTTTCATAATCCTTCCAGGCTTTGTCAAAAGGCTTTTTGAGGTCCTTAGGAAACAGAAAATTGGCTTAGAACATTTTTAAAACTTTGTCTTTGTAGTCAGGATATCAAGTTATATATAGCAACAAAAAATACTGTTTTCTTTTAAAACTTTTCAGACAGCAGTTGGAAAAAATACTGGTTTGAATCTTGTAAAGTATTGCTTTCCTGTGCACCTTAGGACAAGAATTTACAATGAAATTCTAAAGAAGCATCACAGTCACAGCAATTTTGAATTTGTTCTTTGGACTACATGCAGAATATTAATGGATGCCAACATAAGAAAATCTCACAGCTGAATGGAAAACAGTCACAAGACAGCTGAACCTGAAAATATTCCCTTAAACAAAAAGTTAGTTTTCAACACTTACCCCTTTAACACCTTTTAAGTCTCCTTTTAAGAGAGAATCCAAAGTGAAAATAACATTGTGGCTTAAACCCTGGAGCTAAAAAGAAAAACATTATACTGTTATCATTCAAAAAGATTTATTATGATCTTATCAAACTACTGCCAACAAGTCTTTGAACTTCACTAATGAAGTTGCAATCACCTCCAAATTTCTAAGTTAATAGTAAATTCAAGTCTGGAAAGACTTAAACATTCACTTGCATCAGCCATAAAAGCATTATAATTAATCTTTACTTTCACAGGGTGATATAAAATCAGAATTTTAAAAATAGCATATAAGCAAAGTTCTGAAAGCACCTCAAGGTAATCTTCAGTCTCTCGAAGCAAACATTTGAATATTGTTTAATTATTTAGGAAGCAAATTCACTTTTGGAACAAATCTTTCTTATAACCTCATGAGTAAGAAGCAAGGACCTGCTGTGCTACAGGCAGATAACACACAAGGCACACGTTAATTCAACCATGAACAAAAGGAGCAAAGGGAGTCACCAGCTTTTTGATTATTCCCAACTATTTGGGAAGACTATTCCTTTCCTTGTCCAGTGTGGAAATCTGACACCTGCTTAAACTCTAGCGAGTTTAAATTTTACCTCGTTAAGTCCATGCCTGTTTGATTACATATCTGTGCAAACGTTCCGTTTGTCTTTGCCAGTCTGAGCGTAGAAAAACCTACTGCTGTGATCCTATCTGAACACGTATGGTGTGTAAGGTTCCTGAAGAGTCATGATCACAGGAAGAGAGATGTGTATCAGTACTACCCCAGTCTAGTGAAAAGTCTGTTGCCTCTCCTATTTCATCCCTCCCTTCGTTTCTCCCCCAAAATACTCCATGAATTCTTCAGTTCCTTGCTAAGGAAGGATAGGGAGAACGATGGGAAGGCTGCAAGACACCGCATCCTCTACTTGTAAACCAAAGGAGTAGGGAAGTGTTACACTAGTGTTTTTAATCCGCCACATACATGGCCCAGCTCCCCCTCCTACAAGGTCTTCTGAGCATATTTTAGTCCATTAAACTAATTTTTAAGGAACTTCTGTGAAATGGACGATCCACACAGTTGAGAACATCAACATGATCACTCAAACAGGTTCTCCAGGTATAACATTCCATTCACAAACTCCTCATATATTCAAGTGACATTATGCAATTTTAAATACATGCCCATAAAAGAAAAAAAAAAAAATTAAAGAAATCTCACTTTTGTACCATGGTTTACTTTTTTCATAGGCATAAAATAAAGTGGTGATGAAACAAGGCATGACCTGTGTGCATTCGCTGCTGTTTTACAAGCCAGGGCCTCTTACCAATTTACAAGCAACTTCTTGTACCATGTCATTGTTTACAAGAACTACATCCACTATGTATAAAATATCATATTTTCCTTCATCAGATTCGCTATCAGTCCTTAACCGAAAAGACAAAAAACCCAGACTTGCTTCATTCTCTAAATATCCTGGGCAGAAAGGATTTCTGTAAGATCCCCTAGAGATTACTGCCAAACCTGACCACCGGAGCTCGAGCACAGTTCAGGCACCGTTGTTCTAACGAAGATATAAAGCAGTCCTACAAGGCACAGTCCATGAACTTGATGTGCATTATCCTCTGGAAAGCACTGGGACCTCAGCATAGCAGAGGGGAAGGTGGATCTTTGGAACACAGGTTATTATACAGCTACTTAATTATTACCTGATAGCTTGTCAGCCACCCCTCAAGTTTTATTCTTTTTAGACAGCTTACAGATATCATAACTGATAATTATTCTTAGCATGAGATGGATTCAAATTCAGAAAACATATGACACACACTTGTATCTTCATGTTCAAGATATCTTGGCAACTGCTTCATGCGTCAATATTTTATATTTTTTAAATTCACAAAATCTTATATTCAAAATGTATTCAAAGCAAGATGAAGGACAGCCACTAGAACACCTTGAGCTGCAGCCTCAAACAATAACATGAACACAGAGCAAAGGTTCTTCACAGCTTAAAAGATCAAGATCGGAAAAGGCATTTTCTCCTTAATTGCAACAACATAATTAGTGCTCAAATATTAATTTTGTATGAAACAAAAAAGCAATCTCACCACTTTCAGCCACTAAAACCCTAAAAGATTTTTTTCTTTATCTGGCTTCACTAAAGGAGTTTATATTGGATAGTCTAAGCTTTGATTCTATTTAAAGAGCTAGGTTCTGTTTTTCCTTCTTCTTAGCTTAAACATTTGCACATGCCTCCCCTCCCCCAGTATTATTTCATTTCAACAGAAATAAAAGGAAAAAAAGGGCATTTGTAGAGGATTATGCCTTTCTGCAATTTGTCCTCTGTTGGCTTTTTATCTCAATACATCACAACTAATAACTCCCTGGCAATGTCAATTTTGTTGGAGAAGGAAAAGAATTATGAATATTAAGCCAACAAGTGATTAAGGTAATACCTACTTTATCAATACACAGATTAAAGAGAAGGTATTATTGTTTTCATTCTCAACTATTTTAATCATTTTCCACTTAACAACCTTAACTGAAGTTCGTATTTCAAATGTGAATTTTGAGAAAGAATATTCAAAAGATTTTAATCCCAGCCTAGTTGATAGAAACAGAGAGAACACATATTTCTGCAATATGGGTGGATATGGCAGACTTAGAGCAGTTATCAGGGTAGGCATGAACAACAGTACATTACTGTAGCTTTTTTCCATTTTTCCAAGTGTATCCGTTAAGGATAACCATTTCAAGCCATTAATACTTGGCTTGAAATTACTGAACAGTAGCCAGCTAGTATGTCAGCTAGGAAAAAAAACCCGCCCAAATAGCAGTGTACTACTCTAATATGGTAAGATTTTGGAATAATTTATTACATTGTTGAAGACTTGATAAAACAGTAGCCTAAATGAATTAGAACACGTCTGATAACAAAGCAAAACAGTCTCATATCCAGAGCAAAATAAAGAAAAAAAACCTTAACAGATGGAAATACATATGATAATTTTGGGAGGAGGGATGTGAAGAGGAGATAATTCGCCCACAAAGATTAGCTGAGGACATTTACAGGAAAGGAACGTGGGGAAAAAACAGGCTTTATACATTTGGAAAAAGCCAAGCACCATGCAAAATTTTAAAAAAACGAGTAATCTGCAAGTGCTCCAAATGTTCTTCCAAAACCTCATCTAGATCAATTTAAAGATATTGACAGACTCAGTTTCACATATACAGATCTTCATACAGCTTCTTAATGCATTATTATTATGAATTACTGCATAAAGAATGAAACCTGGAAGAGGAAAGGAGATAGAAGTAGTAAAAAGCAGAGAAACCGATTCTGGTGGGACACTCAGATTGCTGAAAACATAGGCCAATGTTGACAATGGCTGATCACAATGTAATTACCTTTACAAAATGTTACAGAAGTGGTCATTGTGTATCAATCTTAAAAAACAAACAACACTCAGAAATATAACATGATATTTATATGTTTTAAGTTTCAGATGTAATATTTAGTGATAACATCCACAGTTTACAGTAAAATTTGCATAGCAACTTATTTGTTTTTGTTAAAATGATTAATGGCTATGCTTTTATTCTTGACCTTGTGTGCAAAGCAATCATTTCAAAGTGATGGTTTCCAAAAGTTGTATATGTAACACAAGTCACTGGCTTTACTCCATAGTAAGTGATCACAGTAAGCGAAGATCACTCTCGAAGCGATCACTCTATAATTCCTTCACACAGAAGAAAATAAATTATTCTGTACCCTCCTTTCATGAAATATGCATAATATCACAATTCATAAGAAAATATTTAATGGCTTATAATTAAAGTTCAAAAGATTTAATAAAAACAGATCGAAATTTTTGAAGGTTTTTTTTGTTGCCTACTGTGTAGCTCCATTCCTTATTCATCTTCCTGTCTTTAAAGACCATTCATTATTTTATTGTACATTTATTAAATAAGGCAGCAACAATCTGCTCTATGTAAAAAAAAAAAAAGCCTATTAGCTTGCCATTCATCTTAATACCTACTGCCATTTTTTCAATTACTTTTATTAACATAAGCCTCAACACCTACTGTGGGGCTTTACCAGTGACATTATACAGCCCTCCTCTCAACTGCTTTTTCACTGGACCTCAACTTCTATTTCCATATTATAAAAATCTTTTACTTTCAGTGTAATTGTATTAATCAGACTCATGCTTAAGAACAACAGTGGGTCAACAAAGCAGAATTATCTATCTTGGAGAGAAAAAAGGTGAAAAATAAGTGTTTTTAAAATGCTGAGACATTTGTAAAATAAGCTCATTGTCTACTTGAGAGTGCTGAATGAAGTAAGTTAGGGAATAGCCTATTTTAAATCCTGTCAACAAGAATTTAGACAGATAATACTTCATAGTCTAGCCGAAATAGTGTAACGTTTTGAATCAGCGTGGCTTCTTAAGTTAAAAGAGTTTTTTCCTCTTGATCAGCACTACTTTAAATAAATAAATAAATAATCCCCCACTTCTTGTTTGCCAGTTGAAAGAAGTTAAGAATTTCTGTGGAAACCCTGTGAAGAATGATGTGGTCCAGAGAGCTTCCAACAAACTTGAGTTCTAGTCCCAAACTGTCCTCAAACTCCACTTTTTACACACATTTTAAAATGCTTATTTTTAATTGTGTGCTGAAGTAAGATTAAAGGAGGCCAAAATAACCCAGAACCACGGAAGTCTTTACAGAGGAAAGCAGGTCCCTCGCACATCTACTGGTCTTTAAAACTGCCAACACTGAAACAAAGGATGATCCAGGTAATAGGGCAGAGCAAAGCTCCTAAAGAAAGTAAGCTTCATTAGGATAAGTGCGATCATCCTTAGATGAGTAAGTAGGTGATGAAGAAGAGGCAAGACTCAGAAGGCAGAAATAAGCCCAAGCATGAGAGGTCAGAAGTGACACCCCATTTTGAGTGTTGTTAGGGCCTGTGCAGTCTGAGATGTTTATAAGTCAACCCCAGAAGAGTGCAGAGAGTCAGGCGAGAATGTCTGCTGATACTAAACTGTTCTGGGAAGTAAAGCAAAAGCCAGGTATGAAGAGTTGCATAAGAACATTGTAACACTTACCCCTGAAAGAATGAAATTAAATGATTGAAGTCTATGCTGAAAAATGTGAAGTGATGCATAAGGAGAAAAAACTGCATACAGAATCATGCTTATGAAATAACAATCAAGAAAAACATCTCAAGGAAAAAATACCTTGAAGTTACAACATAGAATCCCTTGAAAACATCAATCTCAATGCTCAGCAATCAGCCTTCATAAAAGGGAAAAGAAATGGAACCATCTTCACATTTGTCCCCCCTCATTTCAGAAGAGGGCATAATAGTACTAAGAGAAGATACAGAAAGGACCAACAAGGACAATTCAAGTTATGGAATAACTAAGACTCAGCTAGAAAAGTAACAGAGGAAGGGAAAGGAAGAATGATAGCTACCTGTAAATTCCTGGGGAAAATAGGGAAATTCTTACATTTCTTGTAAGATGTAAGAATCGGGAAACAATAAATGAAAGGATCAGGTTCACAAGAAATAGAATTGACATTTCAGAGAGCAGTTCATTTTAGCACTCTGGAGGAATCCAAGTATAGCATACATTCAAGAAATCCTTAGACAAATTCATGGAAGTAATACCTAACGAGGACTACAAAGCAAAAGATACTGCCTCCAGCTCCAGCGTCTCTGAGCTGAATACTCTTTTCATGACCACAGTACAGAAGTTATCCCCGTATGTTTGCTCTCCTGCTACACTCTTCCCTAAATATTCATTCTTGGGCAACTATCGAAGCTGGCTACATGGACCTTTGATGTGACCTAAAGCAGTTGTGCTCGTGCTAGGGACCCTAGGAAAGAAAGCCTGTAATATTGCATATGCTTTACACACCAAAAAGCTTGGAGATAAGCCCAACTATAAGAAAAACATAGAATCGAAGCTACTTTCTGAATACAACAGCTATCAAACCCATGAAACATGATTTCAAAAGAAGTTACTTCCAGTATTCAAAGATATTTGCTATGACTACAGTTTTATTATCCAGCTTTCAGAAGTAAAAGGCCTAAGACAAACTTTAGATGAGACAAACCTTTAAACCACCTTCGTAAGCCTAATATTTAAGCAATGGATGCTTTGTATATCACCGGGAGAATGGACTATTAACATCACTTAAGCATGCTCCCCATATCGTTATTTTTCTTCGAAAAAGTGAAAGTTTCTCTTTTTGAGGTAAGACAAAAAAGCCAATGGTATTGGATTTTTAACTGGAAAGACTTCAAGTCAGGGAACGATTTAAAATTAAGGTCCATAAGAAGAGATATGTAACACCATCAATCACTTGAGAATGATGGCTCAAGTAATGTCTCAACATTTATATTCTTCTTCTTAACTGCCAATTAACAATCAAACACAGTGAGTGTGTAGTAACACTCTTTAGAGATCATCGCTGCAGAAATTATTGTGTTGGTTTTTGAAAAAAACTGAAAGCATCTCTAAAATTACCATCAGTCATCAGGATCATGAAGTTGTTGTATTGTACTTTATTTTGGGAAAAACTAAAAAACTAAGGAAGTTTGAAACTCCTCACCAGGTTCTTCAGCAGCGTTGATAATTCCTTAGTAAGCGTGGAAAATTTTACAAAAGCTGTGCCAAGATCTGGATTATCCCGACTTAAAAAATTACTTCCAAATTTATCTAGTACTTGTGCATAGTTTTCTTCGTTTTGAACATGATCTGCAAAGAAAAATTAAAAGTCATAAAGTTTCTTTCTTGTAGACAGTCAATTATTATTTTAAGCTTATGTATTGCAATATAGTGACAAACCAACCGACAAACAGTACTTTCAAAAAAGCCAGAAGTGAATGCATTTACTGAAAATTACAATAATTTTAATACTAAAAAGAACTATTTAGCAACAGACATATATATCCTTCTTTTAAATCAGCATATTGTATTGAATTTGTAATACATCAATGAAAAAAGCTCTGTAATTATTAATAAAGTAACAAGATCAATAAAAGTTCAATCAAATAATATAAGTACATGTGCTCATTTTTTAAACAACATAGGAATTTATAATTGTCTACAGTAATGCAAACTTTTTTTTATTGTAATGTAGGACACTTTTGCAGAACAAATAAAGTCAATAGTATCAGACATAAAACTAAGGAGACCAAGTCAGAATCTGACTGCAAGTTCAAAAGAAGAAACTTGTTGCACAGACAAAGATACCCTTTTCACCTGCTTTGTAAAACTGAGTTGCCCCACATAATGGAAGGTATATTGGTATGTAGCCAATAGCAAACTGGACACACAGAGAGGTCAAACCAAGATGATGACATTGAAGCCAGTGAAAGTGAGCAAAATCCTTAACTCAAGGATGAAGGAAATTCTGAATTACAGACCATTGTGACTGAAATGTTTTTCCTGCTTCTATTACTTTCCTTTCTGGCATTTGTTTGCATATTTTTTGTTACTTCCATTTTAGCATCTTTAAATAGAAAATTTGCCACTACAGCCTTTTGGGACACACTTTATCACCTCCATCTCTCTCAGAAGAATACTGTTGGTATTAAGTAAATCAACATTTCACTTTAATGAGTTTCCTGGTCTTACTATGTTTTTTTTCTGTAAGCCACAAACACAAAACCACAGAGCTATTCCAACTAGAACAAGTTCTGTGCAATGAAAGAGGGGAAAAAAAAAGAGAGAATAGTTGTCAATAGGTACCATGTTTTTCCCCAAAAGACCTGCAAGTTTTTTATTCTTCAAGTTGTCATATTGTCTGAGAGCACTTAAATTATGGGGAGAGGAGAGGGGAGCAGAAAACTGGGCGGGGGGGGGCTGTAAAAAAGACATAAGTTTCAAACAAGGCTTGGGGATAATGTCCCACAACACATGAATCTACTTTTGAACTAAGAGCTGATGAAGAGGAGTTAAACAGTTAAACAATAGCACTTCTAAGGTATTACAGGTACTCAAAACAACAGTGCACTAAAGCTCCAACAAAAAAAAGTGAAAACCTATTAGAAGGCCGAAAAAAAAAAAAAAAACCAATCACAATGTTTATTTACCGAAAACAAACCCCACACATCAGACAAGTTACATTCTAAAATCAGACATGAACACTGAGGTTTTCAAAAGGCCAAATATTTAATCATATGTTAATATGGGTTATAACTCAAACAGTATGTTTTTAATAAAACTGTTCCAAAAGCATACGGTTTTCATCAAACGGCTTAACACTAAAACCAAGGAAACCACTATATAATAATAAAATATGCATTTTGTTTTGATGTAAAAGCTGTTGCATAAATATACACAGAAGACTTTATCTAAGAAGGAGCTTTGGCTTATGCAATCCTGAGCTAATAAAGCTCAAATGTACCCTACTGTGCTGAAGGAAAAGGAAGGATAATGGAACAAGGTCAGAAAGAAATCTGCTTGATCATGGAATGCCCACCCTTGCCTGTGAAGCACTTCTAACCCCACCATATTTCCCAGCATTTTGATTTTAAGCACTGTGTTGTTTCATAGAGCATTTTCAAAAATAATTTTGTAAAGAGCCAAAAAAAGAGCTGAAGACGACTGTTTCCTTTACCCGTGAAAAGGCAAAAGAAATTCCCAGTCAGAAAAAGGAAGCAGGAAGCAGATCATTGTCCTAGAACAATATATAGGAAATTCTCAAGAATCCCAGATCGCATATCACCTAAATCTAGAAATAAGGTTTTGATTATGATGTAAAAGGAGTACTTCTGCAATTACCACACATACACAAAATTCAAGTACTGTATAAGAATAACAGATTTTCAATTTTTACGTAATTATCAACGTAAGTCTTGTAAAAGGAGAAGAAATATTTTCTGTTGAAGAGGTAAGGTAGTTCTCTACTTGACTTTAAAGGCACATAGATGAAAAACTAAATCTGCAACGTAGCCTATGCTAAAATGCAACATATGAAAACCAACATGCTTAGAGCAAAGAACATGCTTTAATCTCCCTGTAAGTACCTCATACAAACACAGAAATGACTTCCCAGTGTCCTAATAGAATTTCCTTTGCATAAAGAAAGCTGTAATGTGCATGACTTGATGTTTACTTCCTTAGATACAAGTGCTGTAGGAAAGACTTTAATAACCCTAGACAGGGAGACATGAACACTGACAGTAGTACATAAAAAGGATAATGTTTGCCTTCTAAAACTGGCTCAAGTCTTCTCAATATCATAAGCAAAGCTCAGTACTGTGATGAAAATAGAACAGCTTCCCCAGACAGACATCTTCCTCCTTCAGCAGCTCCCCAAGAGGTGCCAGAATCATGGGCATTTGAGGATGGGCTCTGCTCCCACTGATCACAGAATCATAGAATCATAAAGGT